TTCGCGCGATCATTTTTTGACATTTACAATACTCGTGTACCTTGTTCTCGATGTTCATTTTTAAAGAAATAAAGAGAATTATATATAAATGTAAATAAATTGTCCGAAGAGAGAAAAAATTGAGGGATATTTTTAGTTTTTTTAGTAAAGAGTTTAGTTGGAAATGTCTATTCATGATAGAAATGCAAAGAAAGAAAATTATTATGTTTAAAATAATAATTTCATACGAAATACAAAATTAAAAGTTACATTATAGAACTTGACTTTCTAAAAGCGTAATAAAACAATCAAATAGTAAACAGAAAAAAAACTAATTGTAAAAGAAAAAAAGTTGTTAACTTAACTAAACCATTTAACTAAATTATTATCTTTTTAACTGGAATATTTAACTATTATAAATCTAACATGACATTTATTTAACTTAAATATTTCAATATTTTAATTTAAAAAATAATAATTTAGTTAAACGGTTTAGTTGAGTTAACAACTTTTTTTTTCTCAATGTACGTGTGTGTGTGAGACTTTAAAAATATACTTGGATATAAATACACTTATATTATTAAACGATTAATACATCTCGTGAGGTTTAATAAATAATTAAACTGTGTACACTGTTAAGTTGTTAACTTAACTAAACCATTTAACTAAATTATTATCTTTTTAATTGGAATATTTAACTATTATAAATCTAACATGACATTTATTTAACTTAAATATTTCAATATTTCAATTAAAAAAATAATAATTTAGTTAAACGGTTTAGTCGAGTTAACAACTTCTTTTCTCAGTGTACGTGTGTGTGTGTGTGTGTGTGTGTGAGACTTTAAAAATATACTTGTATATAAATACAATTCTCACATACGTCACAGTACGCGTTAAATATTTCGGCAGCGAGCTAACACGTCATTCGACCTTGTGACGTAGCGCGCTATTGTTTATATACGCGACGACCTCCCCTCATTCGCACGGCGACATTCCAGCGGGAAAATAGTGATACGGAACGCTCCGTATTATCGAATTCTTTTCCTAAAAGTACGATCGTGATTAGATCAAAATATAATAATTCGACTATTACAATTGACAAATAATTAATTAATAAATGACATGAAATTGTGGCGACGATAAATTCATCGAAACGCGATCTTTCATTATTGCAAATAGAAATTGAAGCGAAAGGGACAAAAATTACAAATTTTCTCGCAATATTCTCCGATTATCGAACTTTACGAATAATAATTATTTCTTTAACATTGCATAGAATGAAATTCGATTTCGCCCGATGTTTTAAACTTTCCTAAACTGCATGCATATATATCATATTAATTAAACGATTGCTATATCATCAATTTACATTACTTTAATATTTTAATATTATGATTCGCATTATTATACATCATATTATACATATATTATACATCAACAAATAGAAATAGTTAATTAGTAAGAATCGAGTGGTGCATGATTTTGCTTCGTTTAAAAATCGAGCGAATTATTGTAATTTTTGTGTTCCTCTCTTGCAATAATAATAAAATAATAATATTATAAAAATACGTATCTCGTATGATTATTTTGCGATCGGGAGTGCCGTGCAAAATGTCTTGCGATCGTTTCTGTATATGACTGAAATATAATTAATTGAAATATAATTGTTTGTTCGCGAGTGAATACGTGACTGCTACGAGGAAACAACAAAGGATGAAACAACAAAAAAAAAGGACATCTGGAAAAGTATCGGACAGTCAGAAAGCAGGGAAAGAGCCTGAAGCAGCCAGAGACATGCGGTGAGTAATTTTTTTAAAGTTATATACAAGTGTATTTATATACAAGTATATCTTTAAAGTCACACACACACACACACACACACACACACACACACGGATTAATTATTTATTAAACACACATCTTTAAAGTCACACACACACGTACACGTACACACGGATTAATAATTTATTAAACACACATCTTTAAAGTCACACACACACGTACACGTACACACGGATTAATAATTTATTAAACACACATCTTTAAAGTCACACACACACGTACACGTACACACGGATTAATAATTTATTAAACACACATCTTTAAAGTCACACACACACTCACACACACACGTACACGTACACACGGATTAATAATTTATTAAACACACATCTTTAAAGTCACACACACACGTACACGTACACACGGATTAATTATTTATTAAACGATTAATATACTTCGTGAAGTTATTTCCATTTTTTATTGCAATTATGATCTTTAATAAAGATTTCTCATCATAATAAAAAAATTTTATATCGTTTATCAAAAGTTTAAATTAGATTTAAAAGTATATTATTGCCTCTTTTCGATAATAATTGATTATTTCACTGTACCTATTTCATGAATAGCTATCATTACAGAGATCGCGTAGAGTTTGACAATGCAATAAAATTAATAATAAAATTCCAATAAAATTAAATACAAATTAATTATAATAATTAAATATAAATTTGTTTATAATTAACTTTTTCTACGTTGAGAAAAGTTCTTCGTTTCTTTTGGAATATCTTAAAGATTCTTTTAATTAAATTTTACAAAATATGTAACTATTAAATTTATAGTATTTAATATTTAGAAATAAATAGATAATATTTCATTTTTATATCGATTACGTATACGATATTATTTATTAAAAGAACTAATATATCTTTTATGGATCTTTTTGTTAAGTTAATTATTTAGATCTACGATTCGATTGTTTTACTGCATTTCAATCCGAATTATATATTTAAATGATCGAAAAATAAAACGATAATAAAATAATAAGCAATATATCTATTTTAAAAATAGTGTATATAAATAATAAATAATAAATAATTTTATAAATTATTATTATTTATTATAAATTATTATAATTTTATAAATTATTTATTATTTATTATTTATATACACTATTTTTAAAATAGATATATTGCTTATTATTTTATTATCGTTTTATTTTTCGATCATTTAAATATATAATTCGGATTGAAATGCAGTAAAACAATCGAATCGTAGATCTAAATAATTAACTTAACAAAAAGATCCATAAAAGATATATTAGTTCTTTTAATAAATAATATCGTATACGTAATCGATATAAAAATGAAATATTATCTATTTATTTCTAAATATTAAATACTATAAATTTAATAGTTACATATTTTGTAAAATTTAATTAAAAGAATCTTTAAGATATTCCAAAAGAAACGAAGAACTTTTCTCAACGTAGAAAAAGTTAATTATAAACAAATTTATATTTAATTATTATAATTAATTTGTATTTAATTTTATTGGAATTTTATTATTAATTTTATTGCATTGTCAAACTCTACGCGATCTCTGTAATGATAGCTATTCATGAAATAGGTACAGTGAAATAATCAATTATTATCGAAAAGAGGCAATAATATACTTTTAAATCTAATTTAAACTTTTGATAAACGATATAAAATTTTTTTATTATGATGAGAAATCTTTATTAAAGATCATAATTGCAATAAAAAATGGAAATAACTTCACGAAGTATATTAATCGTTTAATAAATAATTAATCCGTGTGTACGTGTACGTGTGTGTGTGACTTTAAAGATGTGTGTTTAATAAATTATTAATCCGTGTGTACGTGTACGTGTGTGTGTGAGTGTGTGTGTGACTTTAAAGATGTGTGTTTAATAAATTATTAATCCGTGTGTACGTGTACGTGTGTGTGTGACTTTAAAGATGTGTGTTTAATAAATTATTAATCCGTGTGTACGTGTACGTGTGTGTGTGACTTTAAAGATGTGTGTTTAATAAATTATTAATCCGTGTGTACGTGTACGTGTGTGTGTGACTTTAAAGATGTGTGTTTAATAAATTATTAATCCGTGCGTGTGTGTGTGTGTGTGTATGTGTGTGTGTGTGTGTGTGTGTGACTTTAAAGATATACTTGTATATAAATACACTTGTATATAACTTTAAAAATATATATATCCGTTATGTTAATTATCCGATTTTTATTCGATCGTTTTATTGCGCATTCTGAATCAAATTATATTTAGATCAAATGATATCAGAGAGAATATTTATTTATTATATTAGAATTCTAAATGTGTGTGTGTGTGTGTACACATATATATTAGGATAGAAACGAAATAGAAATAGAAGAATAATCATTGCTCGTAAAGATTGCAACAAAGTAATAATTTATAATTTTGATTCCTATCGTATAATCGAATATCGTATTTCGAGAGCAATCAACTATTTATTAATAAAATTGTATATAACTTACGAATATATTCCACTTATTCCGGATGTTAATATCGCGACAACGACGAATAAAAAGTTCAACTATTTCATATATGAGACAGTTCTACCAATCACTGATACAAAAAACTCGTCGATTGACCAGTTGGTGAAACTGTTTCAGTCCTGAGTATTTTCTTAAAAGAGCTGTTGGCGCACATACATGCGTGTATTATGTTTACGCGCATCACACGTTCGAACGAACCTTGACATTCTCGCGGGTAAAATCACTAGATTAACAAAGTATCGCATAGTGCAGATAGTGCACACTTTGTATAGCTATCTATACTAAGTGCAATTTTTCTAACCTTGATCCTGGTTTGTCCTGTGTCCTGTTGTGTGTGAGGTGAGAAAACTCCTTCTGTTGCGCAGAAAAAGAAGAAAATATCAAAAATGCCAGGTTGTTACGTGGAGAAATGCAACAATCGCAGCCTATATCTATACTATCGGACGCCATTTTTGCTCCAGCTTATCTTATTGAGATCAAAATTGCGGTACTTTGTTAATCTAGTGACTTTAGAACGAATTATACAATGGAGGCGACCAATCTTCGATGATGTATCGTCGATGGTGAAGAGCGGAAATTCTCAGTCGCCGCGGTCAGCGGACGATCTGTCTACCGTTCATTACCGTTAACGTGCTGCATGACAGACCGCGAACTGTCACATCACTGTGGAACGTTGCCGCGTAACAATGGCGATGGGCAAAGGTTTTCGCGTCTATGAGAAGCTGGACTCCCCCAAGCCGCACTCGGTCATCCTGGAGCAACGAAATCGCAAGGAGACGCTCCTCTTCGAGTCACAAGCGGTCGCAGTCCTCTGTAAGTACCATCGCTGAGGTGATCTCACATCTCATCTTGTTCGCTTATTTTACAGTAGCATTTAAATATAAATATTTAAAAATAAAAATTTAAATTAAAAATAAAAATTTAAATTAAAAATAAATATTTAAAACTAAAAATTTAAATTAAAAATAAATATTTAAAAATAAAAAAAAAGTATTTAAAAATAAATATCTGAAAATTTAACAATAATTATCTTGATGTGTAATTTGCAGCTGCTGAGGAACATGAATTCCTCAAACCGAAGTATACAAAATTGTTGGATGCGTACGGATGCTTGGGTGTCCTGCAGCTAAATGCGGGAGAGAACACACTGTTGTATCTTGTCCTGGTTACCGGATGCTTCTCCGTGGGGAAAATAGGAGAATCGGAGGTCTTTCGAATAACGCAATCAGGTTTTGTACCATTGTTTTACAGTCAGGGGACAGAGGATCGTGTATCCGAAGTCAGAAAGGTTCTGAATTCTGGGACATTTTACTTCTCCTGGTCCGCTGGACAGGAGTCGCTCGATATCACCCTAAGTGCTCAAAGAAGATGCAAATCGACAACTACGGACAATAGGTTCTTCTGGTTAGTACACATCAATTTTTTCAATTATTCTATGCTAATTTTTTGAAATACAATTTTTTCATTATTTAATTTTTATACCATTGTTTAAAATTTTATACTACTTAAAATTGTACAATCTATGCAAGATAAAGATAAAAAAATAAAAATTTAATTTTGCAATTTATTTACAGGAATCGGATGTTACATATTCATCTAGTAAGATATGGTGTAGATACAAGTCAATGGTTATTGAAAGCAATGTGTGGTAGTGTGGAGATTAGGACTGTCTATGTTGGACACAGACAAGCTCGAGCAGTGCTAATGTCTAGATTAAGTTGCGAACGTGCTGGCACTAGGTAAGATTATTTTTTTCTATTTAAAAATTAGGAAAATGTAGGATGATACATTTATCTTCTAATTTATTAATGTCAGAAAATATCTGTGTTTGATAAGCTATATCTCAGGAAATAAACATATGGCTAATATATAATCACGCACACATATTGAAACTGATATAAAACAAGATTACTAGACATATGGCCTGATTAAATTTAGCATTTTGTATTATTGAACTATTTGTTTGTTCCTGCTAAAATTATATAAGAAGTATTTTTTATATAATTAGTTTTATATAATTAATTTATATTTCTAGATTCAACGTTAGAGGAACCAATGACGATGGACATGTGGCAAATTTTGTAGAGACAGAACAAGTAATTTACATAGATAACGAAGTGACGTCTTACGTCCAAACGAGGGGATCAGTTCCGCTATTTTGGGAACAGCCTGGTATACAAGTCGGTTCTCACAAAGTAAAAATTTCACGCGGCTTCGAAACCTCTGCGCCCGCCTTCGATAGACATTTAAAAATGATTAAGACACGATATGGCCAGCAAGTAATTGTTAATCTTCTTGGCTCTAGTCTAATCGGTAGCAAGGAAGGGGAGGCGATGTTGAGTCAGTTATTTCAAACTCATCATAATATGTCAGAGCACAAGGATGTGCCACATATTATATTCGATTATCATCAAGAATGTCGTGGTGGAAATATGAAAAATCTCTCGAAACTGAAGGCGAAAGTGGAAAAATATTTGGAATCGTTCTCTATGTTCTATGCGGTTGGCAATACTGTGATTCTTGAACAAACTGGCACTATCAGAACCAACTGTCTAGATTGTTTGGATAGAACAAATTGCGTGCAAACATTCTTCGCGCTCGAAATGCTGGGCAAACAGATGAGTCTGTTGAAACTGATGGAAAAGCAGCAGATGGTGTCTCGATTCGAGGAGGTATTTCGCCAGATGTGGATCAATAATGGCAACGAAGTCAGCAAAATATACGCGGGTACTGGTGCCATCCAAGGCAGTTCTAAATTGATGGACGGCGCGAGATCGGCAGCTAGAACGATACAGAATAATTTACTAGATTCTAATAAACAGGAAGCGATCGATATTCTATTATTAGGTTCAACGTTAAACACAGAACTAGCTGATAGAGCACGTTTGTTGTTACCTACCAATATGTTACACGCTGCGCCAAATCTCTTACGAGAGATGTGTAAGCGCTATAACGAGTACGTGGTTACGATGAATCTCAGAGTGAGCGTCGGTACTTACAACGTTAATGGAGGGAAGCATTTTAGAAGTGTAGTTTATAAGGACGTATCTCTGGCTGATTGGTTATTCAATGGGTCGCGGAAATCATGTAAGTATTATTTTGATGAGAATATCATAAAATATACAAGGTGTTTCAGACCACCCGTACCACCCATTTAAAAATTAGAGAAGTTATTTCAAAAAAGTAAAAACATTTTCTTTATAAAGGGTCTTTAATCGGGTGCGCTCTATCGAATGGTGATATTTTCAACTTCTGGTTCCGCCCGGAAATAGGCGATTCAGACCGGAAGTGCATTTTTTAAATGGAACCCCCTATTTTTCATTGTATATTCTTGTAGCTTATCTCGAGAGCTTTCCAAAACACTATAATAAATTATTTTTCCATGAAGTACTTTATGAAGTACTTTATGAATTATGAGGCTTGAAATCATTTCTTAATTTTACATAAACCATAAAATATCTTGTAAAATATTCATTTTTCGATTATCTTACCTTAATACTTTTATGTACAACATACTGAGAGGAATCAATTGGTATAAAGAAAAACATAGTTGTTTCTAAGAAAAAATATGTATTTTGCAATTAATAATTCCATATTTTTTTTTTTTAAACAACTGTATGTTTTCTTTACACCAATTGAGTCCTCTTATTATTTTGTGCATAAAAGTATTAAGAGAAGATCGAAAAATGAATATTTTATAAGATATTTTATGGTTTATATAAAATTAAGAAATGATTTCAAGCCTCATAACTCTTAAAGTACTTCATGGAAAAATAATTTATTATAGTGTTTTGGAAAGCTCTTGAGGTAAGCTACAAGAATATGCAATGAAAAATAGGGGGTTCCATTTAAAAAAATGCACTGCGGTCTGAATCGCCTATTTCCGACCGCAAACCAGAGGTTGAAAATATCACCATTCAATAGAGCGCACCCGATTTATAAAGAAAATGTTTTTACTTTTTTTAAATAACCACTTCTTTAGTTTTTAAATGGGTGATACGGTGGTCTAAAACACCTTGTATAAAAGGAACATAATATTGCAAAAATTGTTTAAAATCTCTATTAATTTTTTTCTGCAGCCTTGGTGTCTTTAGAGCAAGATAATACTGACAATGACGTTCCTGTGGACATATTTGCGATTGGATTCGAGGAGATTGTTGATTTGAACGCCAGCAATATTATGGCCGCCAGTTCAGACAATGCGAAAGCTTGGGCCGACGAGCTGCAGAAAGTTTTATCGAAGGACACGGAGTATGTTCTTGTGACATATCAGCAGTTAGTCGGTGTCTGCCTATATTTGTTTATACGGCCTGTGCATGCGCCGTATTTACGAGATGTGGCGGTAGATTGTGTGAAAACGGGATTGGGAGGCGCAACTGGAAACAAGGGCGCCGCGGCGATCAGATGCGTGCTCTACTCCACATCCTTCTGTTTCGTATGCGCGCATTTCGCGGCCGGCCAATCTCAGGTGAACGAACGTAACGCCGATTACGCTGAGATTACAAGAAAGATAGCATTTCCCATGGGCAGAACCCTGAACACACACGATTATGTGTTTTGGTGCGGTGATTTCAACTACAGAGTCGACATGGACAAGGATGAGATGAGGGAAATGATTAAGCGGGGCGAATTGGATCAGATACTGCAATACGATCAATTAAGGGTACTATATCAAATCGAATTTATTTAAAAAAATTTTGATATTTAGTTAGGATCATATAGTATTTGAGATTGAGTTGGATAGATCAAATTATTGAGCCAGTGTAATTAAATCTGCACTTGTGACGCATATGGAACGATTTTATCCGACGAATCCTTTTCGCACTTCTCGCATGAAGGCTATACCTCACTGGCACCATAGCCAGCAAAGGAGATTCGTGACAACAAATTCCGAAAATAATTAATGCTCTTCGACAAAGATCGAAATAAACAAATTAAAAAAATAGAGTCAATTAAAATTATAAATGTACATTTACAACTTTTTTTTGGAGAGAACTTTGAATCTTTTTCGAAAGGATTATATAAAACCACGAGTGAGAAAATAAAAAATCGGAGCGCATTATTGTTGAGTGTTGAGACAAACACTCATAATTCATAATTCTTTCGAAAAGTTCCGTTACTTGCAGTTCTTGCTTAGTTAAGATTACTACGTTTTCGTGCTTGCAACTGGTAATTGCATTTTATTAAATCTAATAAAATCTAATAAATCTAATAAAATATTGATATATTGTGAATAGTTATTAAAATATATGCCGTTCACTTAGAAACTTTATTATTTCAAAGATTTATCTCCATATCTTCTCCCGCGATAAAAATTCTCACTCGAGGTTCACTCGTGCATTCACTGTGCTCTCGAGAGAATACATATAAAAAAAACATAAATAAACAAACAAGTTTTTTTTGATCAATTTTATATTTAAAGATTTTTAATTTCTCTAATAATATATATTTTACGAGGTTTTCAATTTTAAACAAGGTTCAACAAGAGCAGGGTAATGTTTTCAAGAATTTCTTGGAAGGACCTATCAATTTCGATCCTACATATAAATACGATCTATTCTCGGAAGATTATGATACCAGCGAAAAATGTCGTCAACCTGCATGGACGGATAGAGTTCTTTGGAAACGTAGGAAACAAGTACCTGATATCGGTTAGTTTTTCTCTATATTATTATATCCTATTTATATTTAATATTATATTAATATTATTATATATTAATATAATATTAAATATATATTAATATAATATTTAATATTATATATTAATATAATTAATATTATATTTAATATTATTATAAATATATTATTAATTATAATTATATTATATTTAATGTATCATCATATAATTATCACGCTATATTTTAGATTCGCCCACAGATTGGAATCCGGGAAAGCTTGTTTATTACGGTAGAGCGGAATTGAAACAGAGCGATCATCGTCCGGTAATCGCCACGATCGACATAGATGTACATTGTGTCGATTCCGAGAAACGCGAGCGCGTGTTCAAAGAGGTGATACAGGATCTCGGTCCGCCCGATGGCACGATAATAGTCAAGGCGGTAGAGGATATTGAGGACATGGATAGCGTATTCGACAACAATCTCATGTTTGCTCTAATACAGGATCTGTCTCATATCGGCGAGGCGATTCTGGTACGTTACGTCGGCGAGACCATCTGGGTGACATTCAGGGATGGTCAATGCGCCTTGGCCGCGGCGAAGAAAGGTATGACGCAGATATGCGGCCAGACGCTGAAGTTGTCACTGAAATCGCCCGACTGGATGCAGCTAATTGAGAAGGAGATCGAGATTTGCAGCAACACCACGGTGGCGCAATTCACGGCGAATTCGCCGTTGAGAAGTCCCATGCAACGATTCGAACAATTGGAAATATCCGAACGATCGTCTCCCAGTAGAGGTAGCCCCAATGGTGGGATTCCACCCCCGAGACCAGCGCCACCGGGACGTCCACCTCAACCACCGAAGAGTCCTGCTCATGAGCGAAAGGGACCACGCGCGGGTGTTTTTAGCGTGGTACCCAATCAGTTTCCGTTTTCCATGACGCAATCGGCAGATAAGACAGCAAACGATCAACAGGACGAGAGATTGTCGCCCGATTCGGCCATCTATGAAGAAATACCAGATGGATCGCCCAGCTATCCTGTACCAAATCGGCCGCCGCCGCCGTTACCGCGAATGGACGGGCCTCAGGAATCGCCGAGTAATAGACCCTCGCCTAGCTCGATACCTCCTCCCTTACCGCACAGGCAAGCTCCGCCGCCTCCACAGCATCCACCGCCGAGTCTACCTCCATCAAATGTTCCGCCACCCGTTCCAGCGAGAACTACCGGTGGACCGCCCATTCCGGCTAGAAATCCTCAATAAGAAAGAGATGTAGGATAAATATTCTCGACACCAAGTAATGGTACATTTATTTAACATTATTCTAATGGACGTGATTATTTATGATGTTAATAACAACGAGTAGGCATAATTAACGATGAATCCTCGCTTCCAAACTGAGTTCCAGGTTCGCGATAGATAGGATAGTTAAAAATCTGTGATTATTTTAAGAAATGAAATCATCAAATCAGAAGTAATTATTTTATTCGAAAGATCTCCAATATCGTGAGCATAATTAATTGTAGATTTGTATTTATAGGGGCTGTTCTTGAGCTTGCCAAATCTATATTCTGTATTTTTCTTGTTAGTGATAATATACGTACTAATCCTGTAGAGCCCCATTTCACATTGGTGATGTAGGAAGCTGTTGTTTTCACTACGAATGTTTGAATAACATAAATATCTATTGTTTAAAAAATCTAATCGATTTATAGTTGTTGATGTGACACAGAGATTTAATACGCATGTAATCCGTGTTTTGAAAGCGTTATCAAATTGGATATATCAGGAAGTTAGTGATCCATCAAGTTTAAATGAAAAGATACTTGTGGTAATAATGTTGTAGCTGCTTGTATCATGTACTGATATTATTTAAAATGTAATTCTTGATGTTAGTACTGCTTCTATAAAGTTTTAGGAGTTTCTTCGCACCCATACAGCACAGAACATTGCAGTAATATTGCGGCAATATTGCAATGTTGCTGCAATGTTACAACAATATTAATAATATTGCTGCAATATTCTGTGCTGTATGGGCAATATCTTAATAATCTAAGTGTATCAAAAACCTCCAAGGAGCTTAATTTTACAAACAATTATATATAGCACGACAAAAGGAAGAACATAGAGATTCGCAAACGCAGCAGTATTTTCACAAGTGTAAAATATATAGACACACACACAACACACATACATATATACATAGATATATAATGATAATCATCTACCTGCACGAATTTTTACACAGGGAACTAGTTTAATTATTTTAAAGGCGGCTATAATTTAGATATAATCTAAAATCTTATCTTCGTATAATCTTATTTATTTCTCTCTTAATTTTGAAGTTCCTACATTTTGCATTCCATGAACATTTCTAAAGCGTCCGTCCCAATGGGTCCAACATACCCACCTATCTACATTTTTTTCTTTAAATGTTTTCGATTATTTTTCAGAAGACATAGTATTACGGTTCTTGCACATGATATATAAATGTTCTATCCTTTTGATTGTCATGTTATACATAATGAATTACGAATGCAAATTAAAAGATGAGAGGACAGAAGTTATTACTCATAATATTATAACTCACAGGAAAATACATATGACGTGATAGTCAAAATGTTAATTATTATAAATTGTATATATTAACTATTTATGCTATTTTTTAATTTCCATTATTTTCAGCTTTATATAAAGGTGGCTCTAATAACGGGAAAATGGACGTATACATATGTGTAAAAAATTAGTATAACAAAAATGGTATAAGTGATATGATGTATGTAGAGAAAATTGTTTCTTACATACCTTACCTATATATTATAGGTATAATATTATAGGTATAATATAATAAAATTTTATCCTATAGCACCTCAGTAATACGCATTCCTTTCACACTTGTATGTGTAGTTGATGCATTTTATTAATTAGATCCTCATCTAGTACACAAGATGTAAAAGATTGGACATGTATATATGTATCAAATGATCTACAAATAATAAAGAGATCAGACAGGAAAGAAGAAAACATAGAATTTAAAAAAAATTCATTTATTGATCTAAACTGTATAAAGAGATTTGATTTAAACTTGCACTAATAGTACTAATATTGTCATTTCAACGGCCCGACAAATCGAGGAATGGTCGGTTTTATTACTTATTAATACATGTATAAAAAACGAAGCTTGTATAAAAAAATTGTTTCTCAAATTGATAAATATGTATTGTAAAAAAAGAATCACATAACCATGTCTCTGTTGAGATATTAAATTTCTATTTGTCATAATGCAAATAATATGAGCAGAAATATGGAAGTACATTTCCATTTAGCACATAGTCGTTTTTAGTGTATGTAATAAATTATATACAAAAAGTATTACTAAATTAATAGCTATCTAGAGATTCTTCTCGGTTAGTATAGTTAAATACATTTAGCAAAAACAAAGTAACATTTTATTTGCTCTTTTTAATCGAATTAAATGTGCGGTATGTATGTACTTATATTTAACATTATTGCCTCAACTTTTTTTCTGCACATTATTTCTTATATTATATTTATAGAAAATTAAACAATTGTGCATTACTGTGAGTATTATAATTTATTTAATTATATAAATTATTGTTATTAATTATTATAATTTATATAATTATATAATTTATTAATTTATTATTTATTATAATTTATTATAATTATATAATAAATTATATAAATATTTATATAAATTTGAATACATAAAATTATATAATTATTTAAATTTATTATAATTATGTAATTATTAATTTATATAATTTATATATTAATTTTATTGTTATATGTAAATGTTATTTCAAAACAAATTTTTATTGTTTTCATGTTTTCCAACAAATTAGGACTGCTAAAATATTGAAATGATACAAAATTTGCTTGTTACAAGTTAAAAATTTTTTAAAAAGTATGATTAATTAATGATGTCAATGCACAAAAATACTAAATTTCCTAAAAATATAAATAGTAGATAAAAACAAATATTCTTAGCAATAATGTGAAATGCTTTATCATTTGATTCGCGAGTATTGTGAATAATTTGTTCGTGATATGAGAATATTTTGTTAATCTAATCACCGAAAATAGAACCCAATAAGTTAAAAAATAGCATATTCATATTAGAAATCTCGACAAATTTACGAATTTTGTACAAAGAACAATTCATTAAAAACTAAAATAGAATAAAAAAGTTACGTCACACTGCAATAGAATATTTCAAGAGCCTAATATGTGAATAAATCATCGAATGATTGAATATGTATTCGTGTTTAAACATAAACAATACGTGGTATATTTTTTAGAATTTTTGATCAGTCTCTTTTTCTTTTCCCTGTGACAAAGATCTACGAATCGTCAACATGTATTGAGATGTATACTTTGTGTTTCCCAATAGTTTTCTCTGATCAAATATATTTGAATACTTAGCTTAATAAACCACAATTACTCAAGTTGTTCTTGATTATCACGTCTGTTACAGCATCAAACACAAATTGTATATTGGACGTATCTGTGGCGCACGTGAAATGCGTGTAGATCTGTTTCTGATCCTTTCTCTTATTCAGATTCTCGAATTTCATTTGAATATAAGAGGCGCATTCTTCGTAAGTGTTGGCACCTTTGTACTCCGGGAAGCAGATAGTGAGCGGACTTTTGGTAATCTTCTCCTCGAATAGGTCCTTTTTGTTCAGAAATAGTATAATCGATGTTTCGACGAACCATTTGCTATTGCAAATCGAATCGAACAATTTCATCGATTCTATCATACGATTCATTTCCTCATCCTCTGCTAGCACTAGATCATAACCACTCAGAGCGACGCAGAAGATGATTGCAGTGACCCCCTCGAAACAGTGTATCCACTTTTTTCTCTCGGACCGTTGACCACCAACATCAAACATTCTAAAAAAGGAGAAATACATTATATAATTATAATTATTAAATTTCTTTCAATCTAGTCAAAAATATTATATAATTTTAATGAATATTTTTATCACGTAGAAAAAATATATCTATCAACAAGTGATGATTCTCTTTATATTTTATATATTAAAATGTAATTTAATGTAATGTTTTTGTAAAAACTTGTTAACGCACGCGCGCGTTTAGAAATGATTCAATGAATCATTTCTGAAATGACTCATTGTCATTTGACTACTAGATAAGATAGACTACATAAATATCTTTGAATAATAAATGAAGCGTTTAACAAATTTAACATACTTGAAGTGTAAACCCTTGAAGGAGAAATGCGTCTCCACGATTCCTGTGGTTTTGACGCGCGTTCGCAAAACATCCTGCTGTGTCGGGATGTAATTGTGTTGCGCTATGCGATCAAGTGCATTAAGGTAATACGCTGCCGAATCGTTGAGCAGGTATTCTCTGTTACGCGTGAAACAGAGCTGGACACCCGCGTCCTGCCATAATCGCTTCATTAATAGCGCTAGTTCCCCAGTTAGTTCACCTTCCTCTGCCGCCGATGCGAGGGTGAAAAATTGTCGCGCCATATCCTACAATACAAGGCCGATATTATTTTAATGTCAGTAGGGCACAAGTGCCATTAATAATGAGCGATGCTATCAAGCATTGATGCGAAAAGATTTATCATCTCTCTCTCTGAAATTCTGTTTCAAAGTTGATTTTTAGAAAAAATTATAAATATATTTTCTAGATGTAGAAAAAGATATTTTATTTAAAAAACTATATGCAATATTGGTTTTAACTTTACTTGGTGTAAATCTTTCGCATCAGTCTGATAGACATAAAGACTTTACCGCTTTATTAGGATCAGCAAAATCGATCCTAAGCTCCCCCATAGCTCTGATTATCGTCATTAGACTCTGTATTGTATTGCTGTATACTACTTTCGTGTATTGTTCACATTCCTCTCTACTGTAGCCCGTCTCGTGAATGATTTTCATTTGTTTCACTATCGTGGATTTGCCAGACTCGCCAGCACCTGAATTTTAACACATCAAATATTTATATTACTTATCAAATCAATAATCATTACAAATATTAAATACATGTATATATTTTAATAATAAATTATTGGATTAAATATTTGCTCCAACAAGAAGAGTGTCGTATGGTCGAGAAAGCTGCAAGCATTCCTTGGCATAATAATTGAAATGATAAATAATAAATAATTAATAATAATTAAATTAATCATAATTAAAATGACAAATAATTAAAATTGTCACCATGTCGTTAATTGTTAATATTTATTTGTTAATATTTATTTGACGTACGACTGGCAACTATTTTTGAATCAATGCGAATCTATGCAAATACGCTCGCATTTGAATGACTTTGTTAATGTTTTGTAAACGAATTTAATTAACCGATTAATCATCGGCCTTTTTATCGTAGAGTTTCGTTTGATTGACTTGCGATCCGGCCAGTCATCATGTCGGATATTACTCGTTTGAGGAAGAACAATATTTTTTCCCTAAGTGAGACGAAGATATATTTCGCACGGCGAGACGTAATCTCGTGATTCACACGCGGTCGATGATTCAAGTTTCCCGCAACGTTACACGCGTTCTATTCATCCGTTTTTATTGTACGTTCTCGATTAAAATTCGTCGTCAAAAATTTTGAAATTTATTGATTTACAATATTAAGAAATCAAATTATTCAATGTTGTTAATATAATTATATCTATAATTAATTAATTAAATTAATAATTAGTATGATAATTAAAATAATTAATTTATAATTAATTAATTTAATTTATAATTAATTAAATTCGATACTTATATTAATCGTTAAATTAAACATGTAATATTTAATTTAACGATTAATATATAAGTATTAAATTTTAAATAATATATAATATTGATTATATAAATATTATAATAAGTAAATAAATAAATAAATGAAATATATATATAAATAATATATATAATATATAAATTATATATATATATATATATATATATATATATATATATATAAGTATTTAATTATAATAATAATTTTAAATGATAACAAAATGTGTGAAAAATGTAGAGAAATTAAGATTAAGAATCTTTAATTCAAATCTGGAAAAACATTAGTATGCGTCACACACATACTAATGACATTTATATATTTAAAATCGTATTATTTAAATAAATCATATTTCTTCGAATCCATGACACTGAATAAGTTTAACGTAAATAAAGTTATTATGGATTTAATATATATTCCGATTCTGAAATACTTTAAATACCAAATAAATAGATATACAATTTAATGACTATTTAATGACTCTCTATAATTAATAGAATGATGTAACAAGTTTGGAACATTCCGTATATAATTTTTTTTCTCAGAAAACTTATTCGCGAAGAAATAATTTCTGGTGGACGAAATAACGAAAGCAATTTCATGCTCACAAGTCTATGTTTTAGAACGTAGAAGACAAGAAACGTGACACATATACATTTGCGAGAAACACTCGCGAAAAAGGATACCGCAGAGTTCGCGCAATCGAAAGTATATTATCCGAAAGACATCGTGTCGCCTAAACGTTAGGAAAGCATTCTTCGCCTAAATTAGCGTCACAACCACACGTTTAAAGCTGCATTTTCTTATATAAATTCTGATCCAAATCTCCGATTCAGGAACGAAAAGTTAGAGTACTTTCGACTCACAAAATTCCTGTTCGCAGATTGAAATACAGGGTGTTTCTATAACTCGGAGGAAAAGCATTTTTGGACTCATGTTTATATGAGCTTTTTTTCTTATTTTAATCTCTAGAATACGCCCTTAAATTCTCCGACATAGTTTTAGAAATACCCTGTATATTCAGCGTTTATTGGAAGGAAAGACAGAGAAATGTACAAATTACAAGAGACATTACTAAATTGAGTAGGATTTATAATTTCGGAAGAAACACCGAATCTTTCGGAACGATCTCGCGTGTCATCAACGTTCGCCTCTCTCTTGGTTGTGACAAATCGAGAGGAGAAATGTTAGAGATTTTAGATTTCATGAGAGAGAATACCAACCCAAGAATTTATTTGATACATAACAATGTGAAAAATATATATATTTATACGGAGCGAATGTTAAATACTAAACTCTAAAATAATAAATCCGTAATTTACAGGTGTGCTGTATTTACGGTGACCATCCGTCCTTTATTTTAAGTAGCTGTCCTTTAGATTTATTCAAAATTTTTTCAAAACTTAATTTTGTCCTTTATTTTTACAATTTTGTTCTTTATATTATAATTTTGTCCTTTATTTTTTATTTAGCGTTTCAATGCCTAACGTGAGAATTTTTACGAAAACAACCGACAAATAAAAGGTATAAGAATACGTAGACCTCTGATAGTCACAGAGTAATTTTTTTTTGCTCGGCGATCTCCAGGCTTGTCCTTAATTTTCTCTCTGAAAATATGGCCACTGATATATTATTCCCTTTAAACAGAAGGATAATTTTCTGGAAGAGCAGGAGATTGGAAAAGCTACACAGAGAAAAATATCATTCTACTATAAAGAAAAGCGATTACTCAGTTTATTTTTCTTTTTTTAAGTAATAATTTTCTTCAACAAAGAATATATTCTTGATAATAATCTTAAAATATACTCATCACAAGTGTTACAAAATCTCATTATCATACTCAAAAGAAGAATTTATTTTCTCTTCAAGAATATTGTCAAGTTGTATCAAAGAAAAATCAAACCGTCAACTCTTGTAGTAAGCAAATCAAATTTTTCTAATTTAATATTCTTGACCAAAATACTGCGCTTACTAAAATTCAGAATATATTCAATTAAATTTAATGCTTGTGGTAAATTTATGATATATTTGCGGATATACAAACTTATGATATACTTAAAATAAATAATATTTACTTGAATACAGTATACATTTTTCTCTGTGTACAAGAATGCAAGCGGAAAGTGTAGCTAAGAGGAACGGAATCTAATTCTACGGATCATGGTTCACGCGGCGCCTTCGGGAGCGTTCGGCGAACGTATGTTCAATATATATACGATACGAGGCGAGGTGCGAGTAGAAAGAGAGGAAAAGAAAGAGAGCGAGAGAGCGAGAGAGAAAGAGAGAGAGAGAGAGAAAAAGAGCTCGCCATCAAGTAGGGGATGCAAATTTCCCATCGTCTTCCGAGAACCGGAACCGAGAGCGAATCGTGCGTTACATCCGTCCTCGAGTAAACGAGGAACCGGAGGACCGGGTCCCCCGGGGGAAAGGGCATTTACCGAGCAGCAGGAGCTTGACCTCGCTGGCGGTCCGCTCGCCATCAGCGCGGAGGTCCTTGTCGATCTTCTTGGACCGCTCGGCGGCCTCCTTCTCGCCGGTGGTGCTCATGGCGCAGCCCATCCCGCGCCCTCGCCGGTGACGGTTCTCGTCAGCACGTCGTGATGATGATAACGGTGACGCCGATGGATGTTGATGGTGGTCGTCGTGGGCCGTCAAACCGATCCGTCACGCACACCGATCCACCAGCACCATGCACGACGTATTCCACACCACCGTACCAGTTGAAGCGACCGCCGTCGCCTCCTCCTCCTACTCCTGACACTTGTTGCACGGACGACGTCGTGTGGGAACCGCCCGCACGCGGTCGCGCTCGCACACACGGACGCGAACGCGCGACGATCCAACACGCATAAAACACACTTATGAACGACACATTACGCGCGCGCGCGGGCGTGCGTGCTCTTGATCGCGCACGCAGCTGCGCGGACGCGTTCTCGACTTGTTCGATTTGCGCTTGACGTTCGCGAATGCTCGCGCCTTGTCAAACGAGACGTCGAAGACGTGGACGACGCGGGCGAGGGGATCCGGCGTTCCGGCGAAACCGACCGCTTTCCGCTCCGGTGGCAGATAGCGGCGCGCGAGCGATGAATCGGCGCCAGCGCACGGTAATTAGAGTCGCAACTAGGTCGCCGTTGTCAGTTCGGGCCGCGCCCCGCGATTCGTCGCCGCGCGGCCAATCGGATCGCTCGACGCCGCTCGCCGCTAGCCAATGCGCGTGCGCGCGCCTCCGTCGCGTGTCGCTCGCATCTGTCAGAAACGAGGATTGGTATTTGAAGCGATCTAAGTTTTGCTTCGATCGATGCCGGCGTTCGAATACGAGTACATTGATTCTGCTGTATTTTGTATGCGGAGTTTGTTGTTTGCTCTCTTCTTTCTAGTTTCTTTTAGATATATGGGTATTCAATTATTATTATTGATATATATTATTGAGGTATTATTTCAAGAATTAATACTTTCGTCTTGACATGGAAATTTTGTACAACGCACATTACGATTTCTATTTAAAGAATTGTGATATGAGAGCATCATGGTAAGATCTAACAGTAATTTGAATATTCCCTTTTTATGCGTGTGTATGTGCGAAAAGATCGAAGTTTAATGCATTGAATCAAATAAACTGTTTTCTATTTGCATTTAATATAGTTGTATATACTTATACATACACAGAGTGTCCTAGATTTTTAAGTAAATCAGGTACGCTTTATCAAATTGTGATATTTTCAACGTTGGATTCCGACCGGAAATACGCCATCCGGATCGGAAGTTGAATTTTTTTAGGGGAACATGGCACTTTTTATTACAGATTCGAATTGTACGTGAAAAAATAAGAAACTTTTGTATCAAACGTTTTTTCTAAAAGTGCCTTTGTCAATCTTAAAATTGACCTTATTATTTCATCACAGTTACTTTCAAGGTAAATTTTAAGATTGACGGAGGCTTTCAAAAAAAACGTTTGATACAAAAGTTTTTTATTTTTTCATGTACAATTTGAATCTGTAATAAAAAATACCAAGTACCATGTTCCCCTAAAAAAATTCAACTTCACAAAATTATTATTCCAGAAATTATTAATGTCAGTGATGTGATTTTTATGGCTTTGAGAAACATACTAAATATGATAAATTTTCTAGCGCACAACTTCTAATTTGCATGTTAAAAAAATGAGAGAAGAAGACGAAGAGATCGAAACATGACACATAAATGCTCATAAATTATAACAAAAATATAAATTATAAAAAAACATAAAGATCAAAGTATCGAATAGATTTGTAATCGATTATTTAAGAAAAAAATAGCGTGATAATATCACATTTTTTAATTTTTTGATTCACAATTTTTAATTGATTAAATATTTTCATATCAAAATAAGAATTATAAGGTTCATTTTACATCTGTATAAACAGTACATATATATCACTTTTCGAAAGAGAAGAAAGCGAGAAAGAAAGAGAGAGAGAGAGAGAGAGAGAGAGAGAGAGAGAGAGAGAGAGGAAAAGAGAGAAAGAGAGAGAGAATATATATATATATGTTTATACATACTTATATATTTGTTATCATAATTGTAATCTTTTTATCTTAATTTCTTATTTTTTATTTTAAATTGAATATGAGCATTGATATTTGTGTTTACTGTACCTCTACTATAATTCTACTTCATAATATTATTGATTTATCTGTGTGTATCTATACACATTGGGCATATTTACGATTGTATATATATTCATACTCTATTATTCCTCGTATACGATATGTTAAGGTCACTCAAATATTACAGATTATGTCCGAAATGTCTCAGTGTTTGCACGGTCTTCACCGTGAATGGTAGTAATTGAAAAATCACAAAACTATGAAACTCTTATTTCTATTTGTGAGTACTGTTATCTTTTCTAATGTGAATACAGTGAACGATAAAATGCCAAGATATTTGCATTCTTTTAATATCTGTTATGTTGCAGATGGCAAGTTGTGCCTTTATTCAGTTCTTTTCCGTACACGCGACAAATGTGAACGAATATCTATACGAAAAATTACGGCAATCTAAGATAGAATTTATTAAAATTCACATTCAGGAAATATCGCCGGGTAAGTTTATGTAATGAAGTGAATTTAACGGATATATTTTCAAAGAAATCTTTCTCAAAACTAATTATGTTAAAAATCTTTCTTTTAATCACTTATTTTCAAATGAACATAAATTAAATATGTACAATAGTATTTATTTATTTGGAAATGATTTTTCTATTGAATGACAAGATAACTCACTATGTAACAAGATATTAATAACTAACACTCTCTGTTTGCAGTACAGGAAAAATCGTACAAAGTACAATGGGATAGATCATGGCGAATACCTCTAACGAGCAAGCATCGGCCATTCGTGATAAATATGTTCGATGAGATATTTATCCTCGATGATAATCATGTGATGGTATCTTTTCTTAATAAGACCTCTTGGAATGAAACCCACGAAGCGTTACGTCAGGTTGATTCGATCGAGGAACACTCCGCCATTAAATTTGTCAGGGTACTTTAATCATCTTTAATAATAATATCAATAGCGATAATTTCAATTTTCTATCACATCTTGTGGAAAATATTTTTTGATATTTTTTTACATATTTATTATTTTTATATTATGTATATACATATTGTACATATATATATGCGTATACAATTCTATATACGTGTATATTATATTACGTATTATAATACGTGTATATTATATTTATAATATATTTATTCTTTTCACACTTATATAAAATTCATTATATAATCATGATTTAAATCACGAGTTGCGCTATTTGCAGGACATCGTATGGAATGATATCACCTATCTATTACTATGTTACGAGTCCGATTTGTGTAATCTTTATACGGCAACGCGAAAAGACATGTTGCGATTCCGCCACACTATCGGACACAGAGGGACTCCCGTGGATGCTAAATTTTTCATACAGGATGATCAACTCCATCTAGTCATCGCCAATTATGCTGGCAAATTTTCTGTGCCATCCATGTAAGTCTTGTACACTTATATAGCTCAATTAATTTCAATATATATATATATATATATATATATATATATATATAATATAAATTTCTTGTCTATAAATGATTTAAATTTTTAAATGATAGCGAATATATGCTTGCCGAGAGCACATTTTTTATTTCTCTTGCAATCGAATTGCAATCAAATTGCAGTATCTATCGATGGAGCGGTACGTACATGGATGTAGTCAACGAGGTGATGACAATCGGTGTGATATCGGTCACTGCATTCGAGCAACGACGATCGATGATTATCTTGTTCGCACAGTACGATACCGAGAATCCGCGGGTCGGTTCTGAAGTGTACGAGTTCAAAGGCGGTGACATCGCGAGGATACAATTTTTGTCCACCTCGCGACCGGTTTCGATGCATCACTATGTCCACAGCGACTTCAATTTCGTCTTAATGATAAACGAGTTGGGGCCAAGCAATGTTCTCTGCTGGGATGGTTGGTATTCCTCTCTTGAATATATAAACTTTCTTCTTTTTTTTTTCGAATAAAATGTTAACTGAAAATTATTGCATTCTAGGACAAGAGTTGTTGGATTGGTTTAATCTTTCCGAGATTGATCCACATAGCTTGATGAGTATCTTCCACGTAGACGGCGATACTTTTATAGTTGTAGCACATGATGTAAGAATAAGAATTAATTAATCTTTGCAAATATAAAAGCGAAATGTAATATTATAACAAATGTATTTACAGAATATCATCCAGTTATATAAATTTCATAGCACATCCGATTGGAAAATTGAAAACATTAAACAATTCAAGGATAATCAAACGATAATTGATATGGTGATATCGATGAATAATTATACGGTGACTGTAATATTGGTTATTGAGGAAAAAAATGTATATTGGGTGGAACAGTGGCAAGCTGAAATGGCTTCTGTACCAAGCGGTAAATAATTGTAATTGATTTTTTTAATTCATCACGAAAAAAAAACAAGTAATACGAAAATAAGTTTAAATTATCTATCTTATACTATTTTGATATTTTTTTATTGATTTTTTGCGGAATTAAAAATATTGAAATTTCGTTCTTAAGATCTACTTCTTTAATTAATTTTTTTTTATATTTATTAGTCTATACATATGATTTATTTCAAAATTTTAATGATTTATTTCAAAATTTCATTTTTTATTAAATTTTTTAAACATCTCAAGTCTGAAGATTTATGGAAAAAATTTAACGAGAAAATTCTAGCAATAGAAACAAATTTTAAATATAATTTTTTACATAGAAAACAATGTAAAAGATGCTGATGAAACAAGGAAGTGCTTGTCGAATCTGATCGAAACATTGCAAGCAAGAATGCCGGCTATAAAGGAAGCCAAAGATTCTTGGAAATTTCTCTTATCGTCCGCGAAAAATTTGACGATCTCGGAGCCAATAAAGTTCGATAATTTGAATTTGCAATCCGGCACAGTGGAGAACATTGAAGTTGTGACTAAGGAAAACATTTTACCGCCTCATCAAATTGAAAAATCTTTGGACGGACTTAATCGCAGTATCCATGATGTCATAATGCCAAAACTGTCAAAGAAGAAAGAAATGAGCACAATTGCATTAGAAACATCGAAAGACTCGATCGTGATCGACGATGCATATCTAGAAGAGTTGGAAATCGATCAAGTGAACGTGGATATCATAAACGACATGGAGATACAATCAGAGAAGATAGTTCTCTCGGAACGCAATGAAAACTTTACATATCCGTTGCGCTGGAAAAATATCATTGTAGACGAACTTGAAGTTGAGTCTCTCTGTGGAGTGCCACCTCAATGTAAGTTAGAGTAAAAACTGAATAATTTCTATAATTTATCTTATATGTTTTTTTTTTCTTTTTTCACGTCTTTTTAATATGCTGCAGATTGGATGTTACAAAAGGATGAAGGAATCAAATTTGTTGCTGCAAATAATTCAATTGAATATTTAAATGACACTATTATATTACACTCTGATTTGACAGTACCAAAGTTAAAAATTAAAAGCTTGAACGGGACAATCGTTGATCAATTGATTGATAATCTATTCCGTATTAACCATAATCAGACAATTAAAGGTTAAATATAACAATTTATTACTTTGCATTATTATTTAACAAGTTGTAGAAAATTGAATTTAAAAAACGTGTTGATGGAACACGGATAACAATTTTATGACATTTACATTGCAGGTACAATTACGTATAAAAACTCGTTGAATATTATGAATTTTACGACACAGATGTTGAACGGTATTCCCGCTGATAAACTTATGACAACGACAACGAATCAGACCTTTGATGATTTTTATATAAAAGTTTTGCAGATTGACAATTTATTTGCTGAAACGATTAATGGAATACCGGTTGAGGAAGCTGCGCGAAAGTCTCGCGAAAATGTTATTAAAGGTAATTTACAAAATAATTAGATCCATTATTATTATTTAATTCTGACCATGTATGTTAATTTTAATAATTGATAAATTTTAATTGTAATATTCTATCTTATACTAATATGCTATATTATACTATATTAAAATATACAATATATTATACTATAATTATACTATTATTCTATAACTATAATTATATGTATAATTATATATGTTTTGCATTAATATTAATGTAAAAATTATTTAATTTTTATTAAAATAATGCATTTATTAGAATAATTATAAATTAAGTAATTATTTTTTTTTAATTTTTGTTTTATTTTGACTAATAATGAATATTTATGTAATATTATGCCTAATATTTGTATATTTTATGAGAAAATTTATATTATTTAAGGTAAGTTAAAATTGGCGAATCTCCACGTCACCGAGAATTTCATGATTGATGTGAACACATCTGTAATGAAAATGCCCAACGAACAGTTTCTTCATATCTATGAAAACGTTATGATATTCGGTGATCTACATCTTCGGAATATGAAAATCGAAAACACAGCTACGCTCTTTATAGAAGATGTTCTAGTAAATGTAAACAACATGTTTAACAACTCCTGGACGAAATCAAGCGATCAAACGATCACGGAAAAAATTACTTTGAAAAGTGGATTCACCATCGACAGACTCAATACAAAGTACCTCAACGGTTTTGCGGAAAATGACTTTCTTTACACCACAATGGAGGAGATACCGAGCGAGTTCACCAATCTACGTTTCGAAAATCTTTATGTCGATGAATTTTTTCCTGAAGATGGTTCGAACGATACTCTCTTTCAGGTTCTATCCGATCAATTAATTATTCGGAAACAATTGCATCTACAAAGTCTTCAAGCGGAAGATATCATTACTTTAGCTTTCAATGGTATCGACGTTGATGATATCATGAACGGAATTGGAGCAAATTTCTCAGGAACCACAAAACTTCCCGTCGTTCGAGCACGTCGTGTATTCGTCGACAATCTCGATGTCTGCCTTCTCAATGATCGCAAGATCATTTTCGAAGACGGGCTTCGTATCAATGATGATCATCAGATAGCAACCTTGAAGGTACCGCATTTCAACGTACAAAAGTTGGAAGTGGAAAGGTTGAATGGAACCGAGCTGAATCTTCTGATGCAGTTGGAAAATTCTGACTTGAGAATCATTATTGATGGAGACTTGATGGTAGAGAACCTAACAATCAGTCAAGTAGACGGACAATCGATTGAGAGTTTCTTAGATGAACTGGGGCAAAGTGATATCTTGATAACAACGAAGAAGAGCATTGAAAACTTGATCGTAGAAAACATAACATTGAAATCTCTTCATGGTCGAAATTTCGATGAGCTATTTGCAAGTATTCTCTCAAAATCGAGGGAACAAACGATACCAGGATACTTTTCAGCCGATGTTATCACTTCCAATAATGTCACAATAGATTTCATCAACAAGCAGAACACTTCACAGCTCATGTGGGTGGATGAACCTTTAACGATTACGGGCAATGTAACATTCTCCGATTTATTTGTCGAAGGCGATGTGATTACTTCAAAGTTAAATGGACGTAACGTGCGTGAGGTAACAAATAAAGATCTTTTTTCATAATCTCATTGTTAGTATCATACACATAAAATGTTTAAATAATTAACAGTTTTATTAATTTGCAGATTTCTTTCTATAAAAAATAACTTAATATTTTGGTTTTTCTCTTGTGTTATAGTTATACGACAGTTTATTATATATTCCCGTGAAAAATATCGATTTCCTTAAAGTGGACGAAATTTATTGGGAGACGCCTTTGACTAGTTCTACCTCTACATCTTACTTGTTGAAGAACGCCGTGACTAAGACTGAAGATCAAAATATCACGGGCAAAGTGACCTTTACGAAGGACGTTCGCGCGTGGGCAGTCACCGGTGCATTCAACGAGATTAATGAAATTGGACGTATAATATCAGACGCCGTGATCGACAACGGGGGAGAAATCGAAATCAATGGAAAGAAATTCTTTGAGGATGATTTCGTCGCGAACAAGTTGGTGGTGAACGGTGATTTGGGCATCGCCAAAGTCAACGACGTGGATATTCTCAAGTTTAACGATTCGGTTGTTAGAAAAGATCGTGAGGAAACGATCATCGGTCCGTTGACATTCCTCAAGGATGTGACAATCGAGAAACTTCAAGCAAACGATGCCGATCTTAATGCATCCATTAACGCTGCTGTACGTTCTGACGATGTTATGCCAGATAACATCTTCTTCGAGGAGCTTGTAGTAGTGAGCAATGTACATCTACAGAATTTAAACAATATAGATTTCGACAAGTTTGCAAACAATCGTGTTACTCTCACCGGAAATCACAATATCTCATGCGATTTGAAATTTAATGGTGTCGTTACAGTAACAGGTGAAACAATTATACAAATTAATTTAGTGATAATGTTATCAGAATCTTAATAAGAATTTTTAATGAGAGATAAAGAAAGAAAAATTAATGATTAATAATTAAATAATTTATACATTTGGAGCAAGATTGATTCGATAGTATTATGTTGTCATTCTAGTTTGTAATTTATAGAACACACACAAGAATTTTTGATAAATTCTCATAAATCTTTATATGATTTTAGGTAATGCGAATGTAGCGAAAATTAACGGAATTCATCCATCCGAGTTTGTCCTCAATAATGCTCATGAGATGCAAATGATATATGGCACGAAAACTTTTGAAGAGGATTTGATAATCGAAGGAAATGTTACTGCACCGCGAGTCAACAATGTTGAAATATTAAAGGAATATAATAATGGTGTACAAAACGATGAGGATGTCGATATTTTTGGAAATCTCGTTAGTATAACATTAAAAGAATGTTTTTATTTCTATTAAATTGCAATAAATCTACAAGGCTGAAAGATTTAATAATCAGAAATTTAAGTTAATACAAGTATAGTAATTTAACACAAATGTTTAATTAAAATTAATTTTAATATATGCTTGAATTATTTCTTCCACTAGATTTTTAAGTCGAACGTTCAGATTCAAAGTATGAATGTTTCCGGTTTGGTGAATGGTGTAAATTTACATTCCGCTATCAGCGATTCTCAAGAGAAGGTGAATGAAACTCTTCAAAGCCTGGAGGAAAGCTGGAGGATAATCGAACAGAATATCCAGTATAATTCTCAAATATCTGAGACTTTGCGCAATATTTTCTTTTATCTGGAAACGGAAGAGGATCTAAGAATACCCGGAACCAATGTCAGCAAAATTGACGTAGTGCACTTCAACGAAAACGCAGTCAGATTAAACATGCATAGCGAACAACCTGGAAGATTTTGTGGGCTACCAGACAATTGTTCGTGTACATATCAATCTGTAGTAGAAATCGTTGATAGAAATGTACGAAAATGGCAAGTCAATCCTGGAGAAATCGTAAAGAATTTTCACGATCCGAGTAGTATTTTCGATGTTAATATAATAACAAATGCCGTTTCGAGCAGTGAAAAATGCATCTCGTCGAGAACCAAGGAAGAATTCACTACGATTTCCTTGATAAGGTCTGAAGATTCTAAAGAGATTCAAGAAGATGTTTTCGATCAGATAGAGGGATATTTGAAAGATGCCAGTATTTTTAAACACGATGGTACGTACATCATGTTAAAGAATCCATCGTCAAAATTGAAATAAAGAGAAAGTTAATGTGAAATTTCGAACATAAATATGAAATATAATTTACAGATAATGTGTATATAGTTTTGGCGATTTACTATGATAAAGCACACGCGACACATCGTACAAACTCCTTGCTTTATAGAATACATATGACAACGAAAAATGCAACATTAGTTCAAGAAATTCCTACGGACGGTGCCTGGTCTATTCAAATTTTCAAAATCAATCATCACGAGGTGTTTCTTCTTATCGGCTGTTTTAGCAAGTCTTCGGAATCTTCTTTATATAGATTCAATCCATTAACACAAAAGGTAATAATTGTCGCGACAATCAAACTATATAAACAATTTGCATACAGCTTCTTGTAATACAAAATAAAAAATTAATTCTTTTATTTTTTTGTAGTTTGAACAACTGAAAATATTCGCAAGCAGAAGTCGTTACGTAAAGAGTTTAGCGCAAGGAAATGATTATTTTATCTTGCTTGATAATCCTGATACAAACGCCGTGAATATTTACAAATATGATCCTACATCTCGGAACTTTTACCACTATCAAAACATTTTTCATGTTCATCGAATTAATGGTATCGAATGCTTCTACACTGATGGTATGAGTTTTAAAGTGATAATTTAATATAATTATAAGATAGACACAGTGATTTTAATATAATTAAGATACACATACGGTGTGTATGTGCATATATTTATTATAATCCTAATTATTTTAATTGACAGTTATAATTAACGGTTATTATTATAATTAAAATTTTATTTTTGATTTATTTATCATTTACAATTTACAATTTATTCTTTTACCATCACAGATTTTGGCAATAGTGATGTGTTTGTGATTATCACAACGCAAGGTGGTCGATTTTACATGTACGAATATATGTTTGCTGGGGTAAGTCTATAAACTATTATATTTTTTTATACATTGGTTCTTGTATATTCTCTTATATGAATAAATAAAATAAGAAACTTTCTGTATAATTTTAAGATATATATTATACATGTAATTTTTTACAATTATTACAGAAATTCCAGATGAAGTTACAACACACTGTGGATGGCTTACGAACGATAATGCCGTTTTACCATATGAATCGGCATTACATCTTGATTGGTACAGATGATAACAATATAATCTTCCGAATTGTGAAACAGGGTCCACATTAATCCTACAAAAAAATCATCGGTATGAATTTGATGTATATGCGCACGTATATATACTTATGATTACTTATATATTCCGACATTATTAAAAATTGATACAAGTATTTATTACGTTCAATCGTTAATCGACTATAAGGAGGATATAAAGAAGATATAAAACATGGCGAAATTAATTAATACTATTTATTATTATTTTCTTTCTATATTGTTATTTATTTTTATTGTTGATTATTATCATTTTCTCATAAATACATTTATTGCATTGCACATTATATCACGTCAATAATATTAACAGAGTTATTTGCGAACAAAAACTGCATAATTTAATTACTATAAAATATTTATACGTAATTTTTTACTGAGATGTATAATCTTCTATGCGTATCAAATTATATTTAATATTCTATCGTTTACTTGTTTGAAATCGTTTGAAATAAAATTTAAAGCGACGCGCCAATTCTCGCGAACGCTTGACATGATTTATAGAATTTTTTTCAAATGATTGTCCTTGGAGACGTGCTTATAATGCTTTATAATATGTATGTACGAAAGTATGAAAATGAATTATGAAGCAATATGTATATAAACGCATTTTCGAAAAAAAATCGTTAATATTTTTTTATTTATATCGGTTGAGTTTCGATAAAATGAACCAACGCGATAGCACAAAATTTAGCGATAAAAGAAGGAACCCAGGTAGAACATGAAACTCATAATGACATCATTATGACGTCATCATGATTTTTTATTTATCACTTAAAAGTTATCTAAACAAAAATGATTAAAAAATGAATTAAAGATGACAAAAAGAATAATAAATTTTTATGTTTAATAATCGCATTATCTTACGACGTAATTATATGACCATAAATTATTTTCTATTAAAATATTTCACTAAAGAAATGTTAGAGCTCTCCGAATTCATGGATCGCAGATGCATTCTCATATATTTGACGAATTTCGTTTCTCGGGAAAACACATTGGCGAGTTTATTTTTCACTTTCGCGGAGCGGAAGTCACCGAAGTTCGTCCCGCCGATGGTGCGCGAGCACGCGAACTGCACCGAAGTTGCACTTGGACGAACTTCAGAGTGCTACGTGCGTGCGAGCGAGGGCGAAGGTCTTCTCGGTCTGTTCCGTTCCGTTCGGCTTCGGATTCCTACTTCCTATCCGAGGTACCCGAAAAAAAAGGTGCGTTTTTTCCCGTATTTTCTCGCCCTTGCCTAATCGCGCGCAATTTGCGTCGCCGCTCCCCCGCATTCGTTCCCATCAGCTGTCACGAGCGCAACGTCCACGAGGATCGGCAGTTTAATATTATTAAATAGAATACGTAGCGCGTTTATGGAACGTGACATCGCGATTCGGAGGGATAATCGAGCCTTTGGAAAACTTATTCGCGCGTAAAGATCTACTTTTGGCTCTTTAAGAGAAATTCGGCAAGAACGTTTTGGTTATGTCAAGCGATGACAAATTAGAAATTGTCATCATCACTTTTGGATTCTTCCAACTGCCATTGCCTTCGCATAATAATAATAAATAGTGAGGCACTTTGATGTGTCTCGATTTCTTGTCATTTTTGCTACTTTTTCCTCCTTCCATTTTATTTTCGTTAATTGGATGATTATGAGATGCCGCACTTGATATAAATTGATATATATATATATATATATATATATATATATATATATATAATATATAATATATAATAAATAATATATATATATATATATATATATATATATATATACGTATATGATGTGTCATAATATATTGCATTCTTACAGTAGATTGTTTTTTTTTCTTTACAGGAATAAATATTTCTTCATTTTGCACTGATGGCTGTCAAAGGGTTAATTTCGGCGATTGTGCAGTTCCTGACTGACCAATTACAAGATGGAGATATAACTGCAGATTCCCGTGAGAGTTTAGAAGTGGCTATCCAGTGTCTGGAAAGCGCTTACAATGTACAAGCTTCTGATGCACCACCAAACTTTAATATATATCAAGTTTACAAAAATACAGTAGAGAACTCAACGTCTAACTTAGGCCCTGAAGCTACAGCAGAATCAAAGGCCGAGGCGGAAAGATTGAAAAACATGGGCAATATACTTATGAAACAGGAAAAGCACCATGAAGCACTTGCCAACTATACAAAGTATTTTTATATATTTTCTCTATTTTTATTCTATAAAATATTGCTTTATTTTTTTAAATTAAATCTATTTTTGTTTATAGAGCAATCCAATTGGATGGTCGCAATGCGGTATATTATTGCAATAGAGCGGCTGTTCATAGCAAGCTTGGCAATCATGCCCTAGCTATTAAAGATTGTCACACAGCACTCTCCATTGATCCCTCATATAGCAAGGCATATGGTCGTTTAGGCTTAGCATATTCTAGTTTGGAGAGGCATAAAGAAGCTAAGGAAAGTTACGAAAAGGCTTTAGCAATGGAACCAGATAATGAGAGTTACCGAAATAATTTACAATTAGCGGAAGAGAAATTGGCTCAGTTAGGTGTTAATCAGAATCTGCCTAATATGCCTGGTATGGATCTGAGTGCCCTTTTAAGCAATCCTGCTCTAATGAATATGGCGCGCCAGATGTTATCCGACCCAGCTATGCAGAATATGATGTGCAATCTCATGTCTAGTAATGTGGAGGAAGGTGGAAATCGTATGGAAGTACTCATAGAAGCGTAAGTGTATTATTTATTATTTATCATTTTATATTTAATAAAATCAAAGTGTATTGATATTAAATTTGTCGATAGCTCGACACATTCATCTAATCTTGGCTTATATATTTATGCACATACACATAAATATTTTAGAGGTCAACAATTGGCACAACAAATGCAGAATGCAAACCCCGAGTTAATCGAATCACTAAGACGGCAAATGGGCGGCAATCCGAACGATCCAGAACCGCCGCAGCAAAATTAAAATATATGACTGATTATATGATAGGATGTGAACACTGCATGTGTACATCATTTCCTTTCTCATTCGTTATGAAATAGTATCATTTTTTAAAACGTCATAAGGTGAGATGGCTTCAATGACAATTATTCTATCGTCATGTTTAAGGCAAAGTTAACATGCATACTACAGAATTCATTTTATAGATCAGTCATTAATTGTGGCTGGAAAATCATATTTCCTCTTCTGTTTCTCTTTCTTTCATCTTTCTTCCTTTCTCTTCCTTCTCCTTTTCTCTCTCCTTTGTTCTCCTTGGGCAATTTTTTATAGTATACATACAAGAATTAATATAATGTAACAAAATATTTTTTAAATGGCTGCAATGATTTTGAGCAATATACATATATTGGAATTAATTTACTACATTGTTCAAAATATTTTGTTACTCGGATTGTGTTTGAATACTGAATTGCACATACAAATTTATATACAATTGTTTATTACATTTTCCAATTAAATGATTGGAAATTCGATTAATAAGAAATATATGTACATTTTATTGATATCTTCTTGAATTTTCTCTACATATTGTAATAGAGAATTGTCTATTGAATATTTTATAAACATGCGAATATTATAAATTGTTCATCAAAATTTTTAACCAATCTCAGACAAGAGCTTATGCATATCAAGTTCACAGTCTTGAGTATTTCAAACATGTTGGTTTCTTAGCACATTGTATACGAAAATAAAACAATGTGCTAATAAAAGATAAATTGTAATAAAAGTCGCATTATAAAGAGCATTTGAAGATGTTGTTAATTTGTTATCTTGTTAATTTTTTTTATTTAATTTTCTTTTCTATTTGATAATAAGAACATTACTATTCACACAATATATACACGTATACATACTCTGAGAGATTATTAAAAAGCAATTAAGAAAAAATCGAAGTTACACAAAAATATCTAATAAATAGATTTATTTCTGACATCATGCATTATCAAAAAATCCTTGCTTGTAAGACATTTTCCACAAGAGTGAATGTTACAAGTCTCTTTCATTCTTTCTTTTTATTTATTTATTGCTATGGAGATTTTTTTCGATATACATAATTTTAATTATATGATGCTGGAAAATTTCTTTGATCTTTTATCGATATTTTTGTGACGTTAGACGAGCGCATTCGCCGGCGTTAATCAGTAGATATAGTTTATCTCTGCCAGTTAAATGCGTAAACTACATTAATGGTCGTATTTCTTGTATTCGGCTAGCATTGGGCATAAGAGCTGGCCAAAATGACATCATTCTTATTTGGCACATACGTAGCGTGTATGTCATGTATATTGCTGGGATATGCACAAGCGAATAGTATTGCAAGCTACATTTGTGATTTGTATAAAATAATCGCCCAATCACGATCGAGTATTGGCCCTTCCAATTGGATTTCCTTACACTTACGTCTCATTTGCTTATGGAATTTTATGTCTGATGGTCTTTATCTATGATTGAAAGCGAATCGTGTTGCATATACTTCTTGAGAATCAGTTGACTGTCACAAAGTCCATTCAAGAGTGAAATACAGTTTATAAAAATGAGCGATTTAAAAAGAATTTAACAGTATTTGTTATATCAATAATTTCAAATTATTTGTAGTTGTGTTTATTTATTAATTTAATTTCTTTATTATACAGAAATTGCAGGATTTTATTTTTAAAATTTTAAAATTCTCTTTCTATTGGGATAATCTGGAATTTTCTAAATTTATACGTGTATATATAATATTTAAATGATAAGAGTAAAATATATTGCATTAATATTTCGAGTGCGATTTTAGCTATTTTAATAACGAAACTTTGTTGTATAGAATTTACCACTTTTAACGCTGAATAACAATGAGAATACGATTGAATGTCAGGATGTTTCGAATTCTTTATTATTAAAAACTTTATTATTAAAAAAATACAAGATTAATTTTTCTTACGATTGGGGAAATTTTTAATAATGGCATTTATTTTACTCAGTTGATTAGCCGGTTAATGACATATATGTGAATATGTATCATGATGTGAAATTAATATAAAAAATTAAAAATGTTCTATAATATAATCTATTTATAAAAATAGATATAATGCGTATTTTCTTTATATTTTGTACTTTTTTCTGTAGTACATACATATATACATTCATTCGTTATACATATAAAATATTCGTTACGCTTAGGCCCAGTTCCACAATCCAGTTAATCCGAGTTTAAGTAGCAAATGGACCAATCAGGACCCAGTTTAACGTATTAAACTCGGATTAACTCGAGTTGTGCTGGAACCGGGCCTTAAAGCGTCGTCTACAATGGCAGTAGGATTAATGGATTAAAGCTGTAACTCAAGAAACCAATCACAGTCGAGTATTCTTTTGATGCTTGACTGTGATTGGTCAATTTCTTAAGTTATTGCTTTAATCCATTAATCCTACTGCCATTGTAGACGACGTGTTAACTTAAACAAATCGACCAATCACAGTCGAGCAATAAGACAATGGCTGCCTTATTGCTCGACTGTGATTGATCGATTCGTTTAAGTCTTAAGTTTACTGTCTAAGTTTTTTTATGTGCTCCAGGTTGTACTCTTCTGCGTCTGTTCCTTTCCGTTCGACTTCGAGTCCAGAGTTCCTATTCGAGTTACACGAAAAAAAGGTGCATTTTTTTCATATTTTTTCGCACTCGCCTAATCGCGCGCAATTTGTATCGCCGTTCCTCCCCGATCGTTCTCTCGTCAGTTATCACGAGCGCAACGTCCACGAGGATTAGCAGTTTAATATTATTAAACAAAGTACATAGTGCGTTTATGAACGTGATATCGCGATTCGGAGGGATAATCGAGCCTCTGAAAATTTATTCGCGTGTAAAAAAACCTACCTTTAGCTTTTTAAAAGAAATGTGGCAAGAATTTTTTGATTATATCAAGCGATGACAAAATAGATAATTTTGTCCACATTACCATTGGATTCTTCTAACTGCGGTTGGCTTCGCATAAGTGACGAGACACTTTGATGTATCTCGATTTCTTGTCATTTTTTCTACGTTTTTTTATCCCTTTCCATTTTATTTTTAATAATTGGATGATTATGAAATGCTATACTTGCTATATATACATACATATATATCTGTTATAATATATTGCATTCTCACAATAGATTATCTTTTTTCTTTACAGGAATAAATATTTCATCATTTTGTACTGATGGCCGACAAGAGATTAATTTCGGCGATTGGGCAGTTCCAGACTGATCAATTGCAAGATGGACATAGGCCAGTATTCATAGCCTGGTCTTACATTTAAGATCATCTTAAGAACTTATTCAACTAATTAAATAGCTACAATTGAGCTATTGATTGGTGGAATGAGAGCTTAAGATGATCTTAAATGTAAGACCGGACCATGAATACCGACCATATAACAGCTGATTTCGGCAAGAGTGTAGAAAGAGAAATGATTAACCAGTGTTCGGAAAGCACTTACAATGTGCAAGTTTTTGATGCACCAAATTGTAATGTTTGTCAAATTTACAGAATCACAGTAGAGAATGCAGAATCTAACTTAGGCCCTGAAGCTACAGCAGAATCAAAGGCCGAGGCGGAAAGATTAACAATCATGGGCAATATATTTATGAAACAGGAAAAGCATCATGAAGCACTTGCCAACTGTACAAAGTATTTTTACATTATTTCTCTATTATTATTCTATAAAATATTGCTTTATTTTTTTAAATTAAATCTATTTTGTGTTTATAGAGCAATCCAATTGAATGATCACGTTGCAGCATATAGCCATAGAGCAATTGTTCACAAAAAGCGTGGTAATGTCTTTAAAGCCATTAAAGACTATCACACGTTACTCTCTACCAATCCCTCGTATGACATATATATTCATTTAGGCCATATATTTATGAAACAGGAAAAGTATCATGAAGCACTTACCTACTATACAAAGTATTTTTACATTATTTCTCTATTATTATTCTATAAAATATTACTTTCTTTTTTTAATTAAATCTATTTTTGTTTATAGAGCAATCCAGTTGGATAATCACAATATAAAATATTATATCAATAGAGCAATTGTTCACAAAAAGCTTGGTAATTATGCCCTAGGCATTACAGATTGTCAAACAGCACTCTCCATCAATCCCTCAAGTAACGAAGCATATAATATGTTAGGCAATATATTTTTTGATTAGAAAGAGTATCACGAAGCACTTGCCAACTATACAAAGTATTTTTACATTATTTCTCTATTATTCTATAAAATATTACTTTATTTTTTTAATTAAATCTATTTTTGTTTATAGAGCAATCCAGTTGGATAATCACAATATAGAATATTATCTGAATAGAGTAATTGTTCACGAAAAGCTTGGTAATCGTGACCTAGGCATTAAAGACTATCAAACAGCACTCTCCATCAATCCCTCGTGTAGGGATACACATAATTATTTAAAGTATACACATGTACTCATTGATCAGGAAAAATATCACGAAGCGCTTGCCAGTTATACAAAGTATTTTTACATAATTTCTCTATTTTTATTCTATAAAATATTACTTTATTTTTGTAATTAAATCTATTTTTGTTTATAGACTAATCCAGTTGAATGATGTGGTAGCTTATCACTAAAGGAGTTCGTCATTCCCATTATAGTATTTTCATCCGAGCCATTAAAGACTCTCTCACGGCACTCTCCATCGATCCCTCGAATAGCGAGGCATATACTCGGTTAGGCTTAGCATTTAGTAATTTGAGCATAAAATTAAGGAAAGGTATGAAAAGGCTTAGGAACCAGATAATAAGAAGCAATGGAACCAGATAATAAGAAGCAATGGAACCAGATAATAAGAGTTACTGAAATAATTTACAATTAGCGGAAAAGAAATTGATTCAACTAAATGTTAATTAGAATCTGCCTAATTTTTCTGGTATGGATCCGAGTGCTCTTTTAATAGAGAATTGTCTATTGAATATTTTATAAACATGCGAATATTATATAAATTGTCCATTAAAATTTTTAACGAATATTTGAAGATACTTCTTGTTAATTTTTTTTTCTACTTGATGAACATTATTATTCACATAATATACACACGCATACATACTCTGAGAAATTATTAAGAAAACAATTAGGAAAAGATCGAAGTTATACATAAAAATATCAGATAAACAGATTTATTTCTGACACATGCATTATCAAAAAATCCCCGATTGTAAAACATTTTCCACAAGAGAGAGGGTGAATATTACACATGTTTTTCTTTCTTTTTATTTATTTATTGCTATGAAGATTTTTTTTATATAAATAATTTTGATTTTATAATGCTAAAAGATTTCTTTAATCCTTAATCAGCATCTTTGAAACATTAGACGAGCGCATTCACTATGCGACGATAATTAGTAGATATAGTTTCTCTCTTGAAAGCGAATCGTCTTGCATATACTTCTTGAGAATCAGTTGACTGTCACAAAGTCCATTCAAGAGTGAAATACAGATCATAAAAATGAGCGATTTAAAAAGAATTTAACAGTATTTGTTATATCAATAATTTTAAATTATTTGTAGTTGTGTTTATTTATTAATTTAAATTCTTTATTGTACAGAAATTGCAGGATTTTATTTTTAAAATTTTCAAATTCTCTTTCTATTGGGATAATCTGAAATTTTCTAAATTTATACGTGTATATATAATATTTAAATGATAAAAGTAAAATATATAGCATTAATATTTCGAGTGCGATTCTAGCTTATTTTAATAAAGAAACTTTGTTTAGAATTTACTTTTAACGCTGAATAACAATTAGAATACGATTGAATGTCAAGATGTCTCGAATCCTTAAACTTTATTATTAAAAGAATACAAGATTTATTTTGCTTACAATTGGGGAAATTTTTGATAATGGCATTTATCTTATCTAGTTGATATGTCGGTTAATGACATGTGAATATGCATCACAATGTGAAGCTAATATAAAAAAATGAAAATGTTCCTATATGACTGTATATAAAAATAGATATAATGAAACTGATATGAAAAAATGAAAATGTTCCTATATGGCTGTATATAAAAATAGATATAATGCATTTTTTTATGTTAATTTTGCAATTTTTTTTCTGTAGTACAATAAATATTCATCTATCCATTATATATAAAATATTGAATTTTTCGTGAAGATAAAGAAGTTTTAGTATGTACCATATTTTTGGTAATTTTGTGATTTTGCAATGTTTTATTATTATTTTTATTAATATCTACATTAGATTCCATTATTACTTCACTATAATACAAAATTATATATGTATGTAACATCATTTTAAAATTTAAATTTTATGTTAATATATCAAAAATTGCAGACTACTCATGTAAATGACGAACATTTTCGTTCCTTCATTTTCACATCTCTCTGCGTAACGCAGCAATGGTAAACATTCGCGTACACATGCATATATATATATATATATATATATATATATATATATATATATAATATAAAGAAACGACTCGGTCATTATTTACATATTTTTCAACCCTTTGTCGTACACATCCACCTTCACCCACGTAGGTGGCGGCGACGGTGATGGAGCGCGACGCATGCGCAAACCCCTTTCACAGAGGGGTCCATGACGCGCGGCGCGCGGGTGGCGCATGATTCGCCGGTTTCGGAGCGTATCGCAGGGCCGAAATAAGATAATTCGCCGGGCGCCGGCAAATTCCTGAATCGATTTCCCATTTAGCCGGATACGCGGCAAACTGACAAAGCCGCGCCTCGCGATCGATGCTTTACCACCTGTCCACCGAGGCATTTACGAGTTAATTTATGTGAATGGAATGGTCGACTTGCGTATTCTTTCTACGATTCTTTCCCTCTCTTCTTTCACGACGTCTGTATGTTTACCTGATACATTTCAGAGGTGGAGAATGTATACAAAGAGAGGAAAGAAAGAAAATTTGTCAAGATCTTAATTTGTTCTTTTTATTCTTATTGAATGCACTCAAAGAGATTTTTTGCTAAGGACTATTAATATCGACGAATCGCGAAATTAATGTTCATTCAGTTTAACCAATTTATGAATGCCGACCTGATTTGGCGGTAGATAAGCCAGACACGCGCGCGAGTCACGCGACATTCGGACTCCGGCATTTGGACTCGGTGCATTCCTGAGATGTACCCGAGAAGCGTCTCGCCCCCTACCATCTCGACCGATTGCCGCACACTCGACCAATGTGGAAGAATCATGGGACAAATCCGCGCGTGTGCAATAACGCCTCAGTAACGTATACTTTGTCGGTAATAAGGGTATTGATGAACCTATTGAAAGAAATTTAAGAAATGTCACGAAATATACATAAACGTGTTGTTTATTTATTTGTTTCAAAAATATTAGACGGAATAATTTCTTTTCTACACGTTCCTAAGATACAAAGTTACATTTAGAAACGAAACATTCAGCGTCTCTACATATTTTTGATTCATATAAAGATATAGAAATAAATCTTCGAGAATTTAACTCCTTATTTTCGAAATATTCCATATATCAGATTGATATTGATATATCATTTAAAAGATATATTTTATATTTTTGTATATTAAATATCATTGTATACATATATAATATACAGGATGTCCCATTTTAAATAATACGCTGGACACCCTGTATAACATATAATAAATATATAATATACAATATAAATGATTGTATATTCAATATTAACGAGAGCGATAAGAAATTTATATAGACCGAGGAAGAAACGTCCTGCGAGAAATGACATCCGAGCACGAGTCTGCGGAGATCGGTCACGTGGGTAGGATGACGTCAGTCGCGCGTGCGCGCCAAGGTCCCGCCGGTGGGATTTGTCCCACGAGCCTTCTACACTGCACTCAACAGATCGAGGTGTGGCCATCGAGGGCAGCCATTTTCTCGACTTTCTGTCGCTTAAGACATCAGGTAAATACGCAATTATATTTTAAGTTAGCGTCGGCCGGAGTGGTGCGAGGGTGTGTTGTGCGCGCGGGCGTCGCGAACGTGCTCCGGGCGCGTTAGAGATCCCGCCGGGACATCGGGCCGGGTACGGTGCTAAAAGAGGGAAAAAAGGAGCCTGCTCCTCCTCCACGAGCCGAGGGAGTGAGGGAGTGAGGGAGAAAGGGAGACGGAGAGAGAGAAAGAGAGAGAAGGGTGCGTGCGTGCGTGTGTATATATATATATATATATATATGTGTGTGTGTGTGTGTGTGTGTGTGTGTGTGTGGGTGCGAAGCGGGGAGATAGGTAGACGAAGGAGAGCGAGAACGGGTCGCGCGAGGAGGCTCCGAGGGAGTGTCATGCGTCGCGAATCCCGTCCGCTCGGCATCGCCGCGCTCTGAGGCTCGACGGTTATCTCGTATTCGCGTCGTTCGTGCTAGTCTACGTCCACGTCGTCCCCGTCCGCCTCGTTCGGTCGTCGCGAAGCTCGGCGATTCGCACGACGGATCTCTTGGAATGCTCTCGGGCTCTACCTGACACTACGTGGCCGTTTAGTTCAGTAAGTAAACGTCTCTCTTTCTTTCTCTCTCTCTCTTTCTTTCTCTCTTTCTTTCTCTTTCTTTCACTCTCTCACGTATCAGACACACTCATATAGGCGTATCTCTTCGCTTTCGCGACGACCCCCCCTGCGTACCTCTGCGTTACGCAGCACGCACTTCTCACGCCGCTATTTCCACCCTTCCCACCCTATTTTCCGCTCGACGTGTCCGTCTCTTTCGCTTCGTAATTTTCTGTATTTTCCGTATTCGTGTAACGACGTTGGACGTTGGGACGATTGCGGAGGAGAGAAAGGAGAGGGAGGGAAAAATGGAAGTGCAGGGAGTTAAGTTTCATCGCGCTCGCGTCTCGTCTTATCGCGCGGAAACCGGATGCGTTTTTTTTTTCCTTGCGAAATTTTGCGAAGAAGGCCAACCTCGGCTTTTCCATCGTCATTCCCGTAATTCCGCGGATCTACGATCGATGACAGCTCGCTCTCGTGACAGCGCCCGATCGAGCGAGCCGGATGTCGCTCGACGAATTCTGGAATACGTGCGCGCTTTTGACGTGACGCAATCGTGCGACGTGCCCGGCATCGCCGGGAGCAGCGCCTTCGGGTCCGTCCCCTTTCGGCTGCCTTCACGTTCCACTTCTCCGCGATTCGATTTAACGAGATTTTCTGCTATTTTTTCGTGACAGACGAGACGGAGGAAAAAAAGAGAAAAGATTCGAGGAAAATGACATGTGTGTGGTGCAGAGCTCAAAGGAATACATGTTCTTTCATTACGTTACATTGTGATAATCCTGACGCTTGTTATTTTCAGTTGCACTCTCCTGTATTTTGTTAATTTTTTTTCTTCATTTTTTTTCGCGAGGCTCGAATGTGCGCATTTCCAATGCGAAAAAAAAAATATCGAGCAAGTGCGAGGTAAAATAAATGTCCGGGACGTCGAATAGCGTCTCTTGAGAATTCACGTCATCGTTAGCGTCTCCTGAGCACTCGCGTCATCGATGGCGTCCCGAGTATCCGCCACGCACTCTCTCCCTCTTTCTATCTCTTTCTCTCTCTTTTTAACGCTCCCCGACCTTGGCCGATGCGCACTATCTTCGTCGTGGTGGAAGGCATAGGTTAGTTTAACCGAGACATACTCGTCTCTTCATTTTAGTCGCACTCTCTAAACTTTGTTTCTCTCTTTTTTACGCCCCCTTCAAAATCGGAGTAAACACTTGAAATGCAGAAAGCGTAAAAGAGAGCGCATTTAAGAGTCTCGGAGTCCGTTCTTTTTAATTCCGGACACACTTTTCCACAAATTTTCTCTCTTCTCTTCATTTTCTTCTTCGATCAAAATACCTCTTTTTCTTTCAAGTGCGACCGAAAAGAACGTATGTCTTAGTTGACATTTCTATTATCGTAGAAAACACTCGGATTAGGAGTTATGACAGGTGGCTACACATCTTTTGTCATTGATCCATGTGTTCGTCATCTTTAGGAATTTCTATATTTAACGGAAGATACACAATAGGAGGAATTAATTCAGAGCTCGATGTACAAATTTTTTATTCCCTCGATATTCAATCTATGCGTGTTTTTTCCCAATAAATTGTATATAAGATCCAAACATATATATATATATATATATATATATATATATATATATATATATAAATTGTAAAACAAAGGATTCGTTCCTGCGTGTCAGGGAATCGCGATATCGACGTGGACATTTGCTCGAATATTTTGAACAGTTTTGTTCGTACGACTGCCGTATATTGGAGCAGGAATAATATTTCTTTTTGTTATTATATTTATATGGAAGGATATACTATGGCAATTTTTTTTGTACTTTATAGATGATATTTTATATTGATACTTTGATTTTTATAAAACCTTGTTAAATATTATTGCAATTTATTACGATGAGCCATTGTTGGGAATGGAATATGTGAAGGGATGAATTTTCGCATCAGAAGCTTTTTCTTTCATCGCTGTCAATTTATGTAGTACTTTCTTCTCGATTCTAGAATCAATGAGATCATTCCTTTCTGTTGTGGGCAACTACATATTTCAAATTGTTATAAACATTTCAAACCATATTAGAACAGCCTCTGAATTTCTGTGCAGCATATTGTTGTTGTGTCTGTACAGTGTGTATCACATTTGGATTTATGTTTTATCAGATGGCTTTTCTAATATGAACACACATAGTGTTTGATATTGCATGTCTAACAAATAATATACGAGCTTTTGTTTCTTTTCTTTTCTCTTTTTTTCTGCATGTCTCGACAGATTATTATTTTATCCTAATGCATAAGGTAAAGTCTTTGATACTTGAACTTGAAGAAACTTCCTAGTTAGATATAGAGAACTTATATAAGTGCGAGCCAATTGCAAATGTAATCTTATATATTAGTCCATTTCGTATGTGATAACTATTTTTATGAATATAGTACAATGTTATAAAAAGACGCTACCTTATGTAGCCACACAAATTCCATATATCTTAATTTAAATATGTACATAAGGTCATCGATGAAGATCATTATATTTAATCATTGACAATCTTGTTGAAAAAAGTAGTGTGTGTATAAATAAATAAATAAATAAATATATATATATATATATATATATATATATATTTATTTATTTATACACATATAAATAAATAAATAAATAAATATATATATATATATATATATTTATTTATTTATTTAATATTAAAAAGAAAGAGTTATGAAATAGAAAATATTGCACAAATTTTATATATAATGAAAGAGGTGTTTTCAAGCTTTAATTATATAGATAAACTTTATTTAGACAAACTTTTAATATATATAAAGCAGATAACATATATGTGTACATATATATGTATATGTACACGTGTACATAAACATATGTATACATATATATTGATATTTGTTGTGTGGTATATTGCATTCATCTCGCAGCTTCCTACCTACATCTAACATATAAAATGTCCACTTAAAACAGAGACGCTGAAAGAAAGACTAAAAACATGGGATGCAATGCGGGCCGATGCCTCGGTCCAGACGATACGGGGTACCCTGGATCAGGTACGACCCAGTCAATATCCTTTAAAATTTCAGTCCTCGTAGGTCCTGCTTTTTCGATAGATCGAACAGATTACAGGATTTAGAATTTCTCTCTTACTCGCTTTACGAGAGTAGAGTTGGAATTATAGAAATAAATTATATAAAGGGTATAATAAATTGAAATAGTCAAAGGGGACACTACTTTATTCTGTATAGAAAAAGATAATGTTTTATATATTGAGATTAGCTCAAAATAATTAGGCTACGATAAAGCTCTTTTTGAAAGACATGAGAAAATTGAATTATAGCCTACGAGGTTTGAATGTGAGAAACTATTTATATTGCGCTCTCCAAAAAAGGAGAGATGTATATAACTTACACGATCTCTCTCTTTCTCGAAGGTTTACCCTGATTTCGTCTTCCTAACTCTGATGAAGAACGCTTCTTAGCCTCATCCGTCACTTTTTTCATATATTTGTATCATACACGCTTTTGTGAATCTGTTGAACTAAAAAAAGTTTACCCTGCTCTCCACTCAATTATAATTTACCGATGCTGCAAGAGAAGCAAGTTTAGTATTATTAATACTAATTCTTCGATTCTTTCCAGCTACCTTTTGCGTTCCCGACGTATTTCGTTACGTTCTAATAATATTATTCATTGTATATGTCGCAAACTCATTACACCGCATGCTTTTAGTTTGAATAATTTGGTAGTGTTTTTCGTGTACAATGTCGTACTGACTGAAATTCTTTTTCGATATCAATTTAGTGTTATTTTTTTAGGTGATAAGATATTCTCCTCAAGCTGTATTTATATGCTGACAGTTAAAATAAACGTCTTAAAAGAATTTATCTTTTGTACCTGCAATAGTTTAAGACTATTTATTGTAGATAACATTAGTGAGAACGATTATATCTCTTGTATAGGAGGAAAATTGTACAGTATATAGTATGTGTGTGTACTTTGTGTAAATGAGTCATAATTAGTGAGAAATAGTGATAAAAGCACGGTTACTGGACATAATCATATTTAACATTGTGGTACGATGTGATAGCAAAATTAATTATATAAAAAAAATTTATATGATTACAATCTCTATGTAAAGTAGGTAAGTTAATTTGATGGAGAAAATGTTTGTTTTTTGAAAATTATTAATTACCATCTTGTGAAATATTCTCAGAAATATCCTCGGGGGAATTTTCTTTTCCTTAATTTTAAGATAAAACAAATATATATATATATATATATATATATATATATATATATATCGATAAATTGAAAACACAAAGTATATACTATTTAAGAGAAAGTTATATATTTTATCAGAATTTTATATATGATCTAAAAATTAGGAAATTTTAGCACATTGACTTGATTGTAATTGTGAAATGCATCACTAACTCATAACAAATGTAAAACACATTCTGCTTTTCATATTAATTAATCAATCAGTATCTATTTTAAAAGCGATAAATGTCCTAAACAAGCAAACAGTGCCAGTCGTACATCAGCTCACCAATTTACTTATCAATTGTCTTACAAGTAACGTGTATTTTCTTTTTAATTTTAGGATTCATGGCAGCCATCAGGAAGAAGTTGGTTATCGTGGGTGACGGCGCTTGCGGAAAAACATGTCTTCTCATAGTATTCAGCAAAGACCAATTCCCTGAAGTATATGTACCTACGGTATTCGAGAATTATGTTGCCGACATCGAAGTGGATGGTAAACAGGTACATGCTTTTTCTATATTTTTCTTATTCCCTTTGTTGAAATATTTTTTTACACACAAATACATTTTTTACATGGTATTATAACAGACGATAATTTTTATTTCATAAACAGGTAGAACTGGCTCTTTGGGACACAGCTGGACAAGAAGACTATGATAGGTTGCGTCCGTTGTCGTACCCAGATACGGACGTCATTCTAATGTGCTTCTCCATCGACAGTCCCGATTCCCTGGAGAACATTCCCGAGAAGTGGACACCAGAAGTGAAGCACTTCTGCCCGAACGTTCCCATTATTCTTGTGGGCAATAAAAAAGACTTGCGTAATGATCCTAATACTATCAAGGAGTTGAGCAAGATGAAACAGGAGCCCGTTAAGCCCGAGGAGGGTAGAGCCATGGCGGAAAAAATCAACGCTTTCGCCTACCTTGAATGTTCTGCTAAGAGTAAGGAAGGTGTAAGAGAAGTCTTTGAAACGGCAACCCGAGCTGCGTTACAAGTATGTTTTAATTAATATATTATGCTTGCAATAATAATTCTTAAGAAATAATAATCGTTAAATATAGTTGTGCGAGTTAAAATGAGAAAAACATTCATTGCAAGAAAATTTTTTTCCCAAAATAATCTTTCCACAATAACAATTATCTGTTATTTTATTCTTTAATGCATTATACTAATAAATGTTAAAATTTTAGGTAAAGAAGAAGAAGAAGGGCAGATGTAGGCTCCTTTAAGATGTTTATCCCAAGTAAACCCGACGTAATACGGGCGAAATAATGGAATTGCGGAACTAGCTGCAACAAAGCTAGTCGTAATGCCGCAGATCCCGCGGAAACTATCTTTAATTATTTTACATAATAAAATATACAACAAAAAAAAATGAAAAAAGATATGGTGCAACCGCGTCAAACCAGAACATTATTATTATTAATATTAATATTATTAATATTATTATATAATTATAATTATTATTATATGCATTCTATATACATTTTTGTTTTTTTTAATCGTAGTGGCTCTTTATTTTGGTAATAAACAAAATGAAGGAAAAATTGATCGAGTTAAGAAAGAATATAAATAAGAAACAGAGAATATACAAAATAGTGTAACACGGCAGTCAAAGAACAATGTAGAAAGCTAAAAAAGCGATTCGGAAGGATTCCGAATTTTTTGCATCGCCATTTTATTAAAATCGTTCCGTTATGGATTTGTGAATGAAAAAAAAAAGAAAAGTAATGGACATTACATTATAAACGCGTATAGGTAGAACAGAGAACAGATCACTTTAGTCTTTAAGATACCAATTAGATTAAATGTGTGTATTATTATATATTTTATTATTATTACCTTTCAGTTATATTGTATCACGGTGACACACTAACACACGGATTATAACTGCGGCTATATATTTATATACTTCGGGGAACGCGTTTTCTTTTTGTGTCTGAACGAGTCTTTTTTTTTTTTATTTTTATTAAACACAAGAATCATGGACATTCGAACAGAAGTGCTTCACTTCCGGTGTCCACTTCTCGTAACTGAATTTGCGATTTGCATTTTTTTATACATGTACATACGCCATCAATATTTTTAGCGTATAATTATTACCAGATAATCAGAGATTATCAGTCGTACATAATTATTTCGCAACGATATATCCCGAATTGATTTTACCGTGTGTGCCACGATTATATTGAGTATCGAGCTTCGCGAAATTCACATTAATTTCCGATCTTGTTGTTTTCGTCACAAGTTCTTCCTGTTTCGCTTGTACTACTCTTTACGCCGAAGTAAAGAAAAAAAATGTTGATGTGTTATTCGTCTTCTTGTGTAGAGATCCGTCTAATCTGTGTAAGATTCATAATAAAATTTGTGTTATAAAGACGTGGTGTTGAAAATTAACAGCCGCGTAACGCGAAGCCTCTCTCGGCTGTTAGTTCAACGTTACTTGACTGCGGAATTGTGTTCACTAAGTTCTCTCTTTGTTTCTCTCGAACGCGCGTTTAGCGATAGTAGTATAGAGATCTTGTTATATTATACGCAATACGCTTTTAACTGGAATTTTTCAAAACCGCGTAAAAGAAAAAAAAGGAAGCTTATAGCGACAAAAAAAAAACTTGAGACTACTTCTGCTGCGAACGAACGCGCGTATTCGTCGGATTCGTGGAAAGCAAAGAGAAAGAAGGAAGACGGCAAGAAGAGAGAAAGGGAGATGTATATTAAGCAATTAAGTGTGCCTGTGAATTAATGAGTGTTTTGGGAAACACTCGGACACACGCTTTCCACTCCTCTGCAGTTCGCGCATCGCTCTGAAGCTCGAAAGTGTTTTTATAATGAGTTTCGTGGATATATATACCGTTATATATATATATATACATACATATATAATTGTATCAATTATGCACCCAAAATATTGTATATATATATACATATAAATTCTTTATCCGTTCTTTCGTAATAAATATACGCGCGTCGATCGAGATTCGAATAGCATTTTTCCAGAGCACATTATATATATATACACGGTGTTTCTAAAACTATGTCGAAGAATTTAAGGGCGTAGGGATTAAAATAAGAAAAAGAGCTCATATAAATATGAGTCCAAAAATGCTTTTCCTCCGAGTTATAGCCCCCTAAAGTTGAGGGAAAAAAAATCAAAAAATGTATTGTAACTCTTGGAGACTTTTTTATAGAATGTTAAAGTTTCACACAGCGTAATAATTAATAATGAGCTTCATTTTTATGTGGTTTTGACAATTTTTTCCTTCAGCATTAGAGAGCTATAACTCGGAGGGAAAGCATTTTTAGACCCATATATATGAACTTTTTCTTATTTTAACTTTCTTAACCCCTAGAATACGCCCTTAAAAGTTCCGACATAGTTTTAGAACCCTGTATATGTATATATACAGGGTGTCTGGAAAGGTAAGGCCAATCGAATAGAAGATGAAAGAGGAGCATGAGTAGAACACATAATGTGATGTATTTTCTAAACCATAGCGAATACGAAAAAAATTTATTTACATTATGTGTTCTACTCATGCTCCTCTTTCACCTCCTGTTCGATTGACCTTACCTTTCCAGACACCCTATATATACACACACACACACACACACACACACACTTGCATGGTATAAGCAGAGAGCAATAAGCAAAAGAGACGAGAACTATCCTGATCGTTTAAATAGGTGCAAATCCTCCAACATTATCACATGATAAATACGTATTCGCATGCACAATATGAATGACTCGCGTTTTATTTCTTTGACTGAAGCTGATGCTGAAGAGAATACGCATAAATCTCCGTACACGTAACACAGAGACACAAATACAAATGAAGTACTTTTTCTTAACGGGCCCCGTGAAAAGCTCGAGTTATCGATAACGCGGTTTTAATCACCGTAAGCTAATTATCTTCTTCATAAGTAGAGATATTTTGAGACTCGAACGTGATTAGTGGGGTTTGTATACGCGAGAAAAAAAAAAGCGATTTATTGGCAGTTCCGATGAATAAACCAATTTTTTATCATTAAAAAGAAAAGATCGTCGATCTTGACTTCCGAAATCTGTACCAGTTCACATACACCCCTCTCTCTCTCTCTCTACAACTACTAACTAGCTTTTGTATGTAACTTCTGTACTGTATGATTAACCTACGAACGCTATAACAAATTGTAACTAATAATAAACATTATGACGATGTAATCGGTGCTACTGTTGGATACACCCGCGTAAATGAGACATTTATTCGTATTAGGGTTTCTAATATCTTTACTTTTAAATATGTATTTTTTTCTAATTTGTATATTATAAATGAGTATGACGCTTTATAATTATGTTAGGAAAAGAAATTTTTCCAAGTTTTGTAGAAAACAATTTATTTTTACTCTCAGTATAAACAGAAATCGCTGCATTATCTCTTAGTATAATCGAAACACGCTAGGTTGGAATGGAGTGTATATGTTATTTTATATATATATTGTAATAAGTAAAAGATGAAGAATATTTGAATACATAATATCTCTAATATATAAAAAATTATTATATAGATATGTCTATTTATATATTTTCATTATATTATAATTCTCCATTCGTAAAGCATATCATGGAAAAACATTAAAAATAAATTCTATACGCCGCGTCACGTCATTATACAGTCATTACAAGTTAATATATGACAAAAGTATCAATACATAAACAGACAATTCTAATTTCTACTAGAAACACTCTTTATTCGATGAACATTCTTCATCTGTCACTTATTGCAAAATGCGCAATGCGGGAACGCATTATATCTGCACTCACAGCGTTATTCTTCTCTATGTTTATGCACATTCTTAAGTGTGTATTACATGAGGAAAACTCGCGGATCGTCGATCCGATTGCATTTTGAAATGCAAAAACGAACTTCGCGATTGTCTTCTTCGATAATGTTTTACAGCTCGTCAGTTCCAGACTTGAGCGCCTTGCCTTTGCGATCATAGCCCTTGAGATCGTTAGTGGCATGCTTGGCGATGTATTTGATGAAATCTTCGAGATTGCGGTCGCCTTCATATTTAACGGGGTTGTCCTTGGCGTCTTTGGGCACCCAGAAGAGGGTTGGGAAACCGCGTACTTCGTACGGAGCCGGCACGTCGTTCGCTGTCGCGTCAAACTTGACAATCTCGACGTCCTCGTTTGCCAGCTTCTCGCCCAACTCGTCATATATTGGCGCCAATTTCTTACAATGACCACACCAAGGCGCGTAGAACTCGATTAGCGTGTCTTTGCCGTTATTAGTAACTACATCATCGAAATTCTTGGCCACTGCAACTTTTACGTTGCCCGTGTTGCTCTCTGGAATTGATTCAGATTTGAGATATGGTTCTAGAGCACTGGCTTGCAGATTCTTTAGGAACGCTTCGAACGTTTCTACAGAGAATTCGTCTTCAAGAACAAATTTCTGATTTTTGGCATCTCGTGCTAAAACGACTGGCTTATCGCCCTTTGTGTAGTCGATACCGAAGTCGTTCAATTCATGCTGGAAGTCATCCTTGGAAGCTATGGCGAATGAGTATTCGGGGAAGTCCTTGGCAACTTTGATGATTCGATTGCGCCAATAATTTGTACCTTTGACGTTCTTCACATAATCTACGTTGTAGTAGGCGATCACTAGAGGATTCTTGAAATCCTGTGCATTGTCGCGAGTGCGTATGCCAGCGATACCATAGCTATGCAAAAATTGGCATTACAAAGTGAATCCAATATTATGAAACTTTGATGAAAAGATGATACTTACTAGTTTTTGGTAACAAAGTCATTCACATCGCTAACAGAGTCACCACCCTCATATATTATACTTTTATCTTCAAACTTGTTGTGGAGTATCTTTGGTCGATATAGAATTATAGTATTTCTGAAGCAAAAAGGATTTTAGTTTGTATGCTTAGTTTTTATACGCATATTTGAAACAAGTTATTTTTTTTAGCACACAAATAGATATACAAAGAAATTTTATACTTTTACATAAACACTTTTATGTAAACACACGTACTTATGGGACACTTTGTCCAAAACTTCTTTGTCCGATGTGTGAGCGAATCTGACTTTTTCCCTGAGTTTCTTAGCAACAGTGTGGAATGCTGTGGCCAAAGGAGAATCATCCTTTTCGAAATAACCTATCACACTAACATCATCAGCCTCCAAGAACGTCTTGTGGGCCTGTTCACTAGTCAATTCTGTAGATGCTGGTCCCACTTGAGACTGAAACAAAGATAGCCATGATATGTAGAAAAATTGTGCAATTAAATCTGATAAATAAAAATCTCATAAGATATTACCTTCATGTATTTAACAATACCGGGTGCTTCTCTGGGACCATTGTAATCAGATCTGAACTCATTACGTTCAAAGATCTTGAGAGTTGGATAACCATTGACAGAAAATTTGTTGCAAGTCTCCTTTCCAGACTCTGTACAATCTACCTTAGCGAGAGTGATTGGTGGCGCATTGCCTATAAGCAACTCGGCTGCCTTGGCATACTCTGGTTTCAAGCGTTTACAATGCCCGCACCTGATGACAAAATAAATATTCCATCACTTGCCTCTTTATAATGAAATAATGATGAATTAAAGTGGCACAAAACAATCTATTAACTTATTAATTCAAACTTTTTTCAACAAATTTATACAGCTATGGATACTCGTTTCCTATAGTTATTTTATATAAATCTGAGATATAAATAAATATAAGAGCTATAGTTTTCTAACATAAATAAATATATGCTATTTTCATGCTATATTTTTTATACTACTTTCAAATCAAAACATTCGGATAATATAAGCAAGTTTCTTCTTTCCACTAAATCTATCAAAATAATTATATACTCATTAAAGCAAAAAGATAGCAGGAAAGGAAAGTTGAATAAATTAAAAAAAAAAGAAATTTAAAGAAAAAGAGCAGATTGCAGATTTTCTCTGATCAGATATTGAAAGAAAATAGAGTGAAATTTTTTTTATTTTAAGATACTCGAGGAGACTGGAAATTTGAATACGTCATCAAGACCGCTGACAAATATACCGGCATTTGACGACGTCGACATTTCAGCGCGATTTTTCGGCTCTAAAAAGATATCTCGCCTTAATAAGAGAAAACGCACGAGCTCCTCGTTTTCTCTCTCTCTCTCTTTTCTTGCCAATGCGATAATATAAAATACAGATAAATTCCATTACGATAGATAAAAAACCTTCCAGACATCCGGCGATTAAAGATTAGCTCCGTAACTTTTTACTTGCATCTTCGACATTTTTATTTTTCCTTTCCTCTCTCTTTTTCCATTTTATCTTATGTGCATGAGTGCAATTATTGACAAATATGGAAAAATATGTGATTGAAGGAGAAAATGAAACCGACGAGAGGAAAAAATAGGGTCCAGGTATCTTACCAAGGTGCGTAAAACATGACGAGCGTGTTCTCATGACGCTCGAGCTCGCTCTCGAAGGTCTCGTCCGTGAGCTCCAGGACATCCTTCTCGTCGGCGTAGGCGCCGAGTATCAGGAGTAAAGCGGGTAAAATAGCCAGACACTTTCGCAGCATCCTCGCGACGATCAACTAGGCTCCTGCGCGGATCGGAAGCAACTCTGTCTCGAATCCGGCAATCCGTTCCGTCAAGTCGATGTCGCAGACGTGGCTCTTTCCTTTCAGACGACCAGCGGTTTGGAGACGCGGCCCGCGAGGTGCTGTCGCTCACCGATTGGCTGGCCAGTCTCCCATTCGCGTGTCACGTGTACCCGGTGCTCCAAAAGCAAGAGCACCGCTAATCCCCGTATCTCGTTATTATTCCGCGAGAGATTATCTCGTCAAGATCTTTCGATAATTCGATATGTCCCAGGTAGAACATGAAACTCATGACTTCATTATGACATCATCATGATTTTACTTATCACTTAAAAGTTACCTAAAAATGATTAAAAAATGAGTTAAAGATGAGAAAAAGAATGATAAATTTTAAGTTCAATAATCGAATTATATAATTTAAAAAAAAAGATGAGAAAATTTTAAAAAGATTATGTTGCTTAAATATAATTAAAATATACACGAATAATTAAATAATTGAATTGAAAATTACGATGAATCGACTCGAAATGAATCTCTCGTTTTTTCAGCTTAGCTATTTTTCATTTAATTTACAGAATATGATGTGGTATCGGGGATCGAAGAGTCGGGATAAATGAACGGAGAAGGTTGACATTTGCAGAAAGAATGATTGATCGCATTATTTCCAGAGCAAAATTTCGCTATTTGTGATGTATATACGTGTTTCTTGGTACACCCCATATATTGGCGGCACTAGATACAAGATGCCATCTCAAGGTGATTGGAAAGCAATATTCATAGCGTATTCGTGACGTGTGGAGGACCGCATATGATGAGAAAAATATATATTCTGCTAATTGTATTAATTTATTTTTAATTATTTTTTTGTGTTAATTTATTTGACTATCATGTCATATAAAGTTTGTTTTACGCGACATTGCGTTTATGATGTAATATTTCTTCTAGTCTATTAAAGAGCACTTTCCACATTTAATTGAAAAATTTAAAGTTTTTTTATTTTTTTTATATAGATAGATATTTTTTTTAGCTTCATCTTTTTTATCCGAAAGCATCAACAATAAATTGCAGATTTAATCATGTTATTGTATAATTGTAATATTTATCTCATAGTAAAAAATATAAGATAAAACAATAATTATGTATTAATTATATATTATAGGTAAAATATAAGTATCGACACGTATCTCGTGTTTTTATACTTTTTTTATAATTATTATAATGATAATTATATAATTATATTATATAATGTCGTGGCTGAAGGGAAAACTCATAATTTTTTTTACTCTAGGAAACTTTTAATAATCAAAAGTCCCTCTCCGTTCATATACAAGTTTGATATAAGACTATCGATACAACAAAGACAGGTTCCGTCCATTTACACCGTTGTTTTTCATATATATATAATTTATATATATATTTATATATATATAATTATATTTATATATGTATATTGATTATTTACAAAAATCGTTACATGTATATAAATGACGACATTTATAAACGCGTAATTTAGGAAAGAAACGCATTTGTGAGGAGGTAGGAGGGGTTGAAAGAGAGGAGGATTGAAGGAGGGCATGTTAGAAATTTCAAGTTGAGGGATCAATGAACTTTAATATAGCCGGCGATTCAAATGTATTAATTCCGATACTTTGCGAGCAACACTGATATTATTTTTGTTTTATGAGATAGACAAGATTGGAATTAAATCGGCGACAAACGTCAGATTTTGAACTCTAAGAGACTACGTGTGAGTAAAGCTGTTCTTTTCATCTACATTATATTGTCCTCTACTTGCATGCAAAATAAAATAAATATATTCATCAAAGAGAAAAAGAAGAAAGATAAATATTGTGAAAAAGTAAAGTAGAAAGTGCAGACAGAAGAAAGACCTGAAATTCTCAAGACCTTCAGTCGCAAGATATTTACAGATTTTAGTAAAGTAGAAATTGGCAATTTTATATATCTTGGTCGTATTTGTTAATTATTTTCAATACACACTTATATCTCATACAATTAAATTAAATATTATTTATACGTATAAAATATTTCAATTCACATTTATATCAAAGATTCTTACAAAACTTTCAATCCAATTTCAATTCTTTTTCCGACTGATTAGAAAAAGAGATTGACTAGGAAAATGATGTGAGATATATCTAACATTCTTCTCATTGACGAATCTCATTAGCTCGCATCGAATCATTAATATTTAATATTTAATCGTTATCAAATCTGAATATTATTCTAAATTCATACTTCAAACACATTCACACTGTCGGTTTAATTTACATTCCCATGAAGAAATGTAGTTTTTACAGAAGAAAGGTCAAACAAAGATTCAAATCTATAGATGTATAAAATTACATATATACACTAACTTAAATATTAAATATTATTATAAGAGAAATACACAAAAAATATAATACTATATAAATATGTTTGCATTTTTATTGTATTTCGTTATGGAAACGTCAAAGTATAAAATATCGCAAAGTAAGATTAAATTAGTGAACATATACTGACACAACTCAGCATAAATATTTCGACCGCAAACAGCTAAAATTGAGATCTTCATACTTTATCAGTCAAATGAAAAATTTTATTGCTACAATCAATTAATAATTTAAAAATATCTTTCCTACATTTCTTCACGATTCACCGCCTGATTCACTTCAGAGATGCTCGCATAGTATACCGAGATTGCGGAAATGACGGACTTTTGAAGTTGCACAAAACTTGCGAATACTAAAGGAAGAGACGGAAAAAAAAGAAAAGAAATGTACCGCGCGAAACGCAAGGAAAGCAGGGCTTATAATACACATCATCCCGATGCAACTGTACAACTATAATACATCCGTACATCAGCCGATGCTATAAATAAAAAAAAAACAAGGTCCATTCGCCTACATTCTTATCACAGGCTGCGATAATGTGTAAGAATTTTTGTGTTCAATGGGAGGAGGGAGAGGTCGGCCGCACCGTCGAACCGTCCTCGGACAGCAGGAGACAAGCGGAAATCTTAACGGACGTATCGTAGAAAAGTGATCTTCTTCCTTCTTAGGCTCTTCGCGAGAGAGAAGACGCTCGATGGATACGCCCGAGGACGATATATGGACGTGATGGTGACGATGACGACGACAATGATGATGATGTTGCTGCGCGAAGGACGAATCTCGTTGCAGTGCTTGATAATCATTATCTCGCGCTCCCTATACATGCTCGTCATCGAGTACTTTCTCGAGTACTTACTCGCTAGATTCGTTTCTTTACTATTGCTTACTCGTTACATCATGTATACGACGAGACCGCAATCGCGAAAGATCCAATATAATAGCGGTTTAACTTACGTTTCTTTGGCGACTTATAAGATAAAATTAATACAAGTTTATCACATATTATATAATTTATGTTAATATTACTATAGCGCGATAATTGAGATATCAATTTCCTTTTATCTTTTAAAAAAAAATTTGAGAGAGTTAAATGTAAATCAACAAAAAGTTAGAAAACGGCTATCAAGGACCTTCAATGAAAATTAGCGGTAATTAGAGTACAGCTTTTTTTAAAACTTAATATCAAAAATCAAATAAAGAATTTAGATGTTTTGATCTCGAATTATTGCGTTTCATTAAAGGTCCTTAATAGCCATTTTCTAACTTTTAGTTGATTTATCTTATAGACTTAACTATTTAATAATTTTTTCATTTGAGTTAAATATAAGTTTGAATTAATACAAATTGGTAAATCCTTAAATTTACGTTTCTCAATTTTAGAATTCTCTCTCTCTCTCTCTTTAGTTTTTAAAAAAAATAGCTTATTACTATGTAAACTACTACCGTATTGAATCTTTCAATTGGTCGCGATATAATTTGCGCTAAATCTTTAAATAAACGCGTTACATGAGAAATGATTGTAAAATGTTAAAGAGACTATATTACATGAAATACATTCAAGAAATTTGTGAATAAAGAAATTGAGATTGCACCAATTTCGATTAACAAATATATTGTTTATATTCTCTATAATAAGGAGCTCTAATATCATAGACAGATAGACAGAGACAATCATTAATGTATGCAACATTTAAAGATGAAAGGAAAAAATGAAAAATTGGTGCAACTTTTCTCAATATATAACAAACGTCATCCTATTCACAAGAGAAATTTTATGAAAATTTTATAAGTGCTTTAATTCAATTATCTCGATTTGATTTATATAGAAAATAGACAAAGATAGCAAGAATATCGGAATTTTTCTTTCGAACGAGCTTTCGAACGAGCTTTCTCAAGTGCTTCGACACACGCCATTTCAACATCGCCGACGTCACGTCGTTTTTACGCGATTTTTCGATCGCTCGAGATCTCGTAAAACATCGCACATCTTATCCTCTCTTTCTATTAAGAACATTATACAATTATGTACGTACGAATGTATAAAATTTGTTTTACGACTAAATGGGAATGTACGATCCGTGTCTCTCTCTTTCTCTCTCTTTCTCGTTACGTGCACGCACGCATGACGATCGTAGAAATATCGTTACAATGTTTCCTTAAATCCTTACAAATACAAAGTAGCGTATTCGCGAGACACGCATTTTCTCCCAAGAATCCGTGAATCGATGACATCTCTCTTTTTCGAAATCCTGGTCTACTTAAAATTTATTCAGACACGCTTTAATTAAAATGCATCTCTCGCGACATCAAGTAATATCAACGTTCTTTATCGGAATGTTTGCGGATTACAAAAGTGTATTATTTCGCTTCTTTTTTTCTCTTATTCATAATGGCTCCAACATTCAGAGAAGCGATATTAAGTATCTCTTTCTCGGCGATTTATCGTGAATAATCGCTTGTTGATGCTAAACGACGCGCTTACTTTCGAATGTTGAGCCGCCGAAAGGCATTATATCTGTTATTACGATTTTTAACATCGAATTATGGCACACCTACAAAAAAAAGAATATTCCACTAAATCCATTATATTTGTGCAAATTCAAGCGTGAATTTAAAGCGAATAGAATAAATCGACGAATCTAAACGTGCGTTTCTGATTAAATATAAAGTTGGATTTTTTTTTTCTTTCAATACATTTTTTTCTTTTATTGAAGCGTTGATCCGCTTTATG